GTACCTCTACACTTGGCTAGGGTGTGTATTTGATGATTTTTGATGTATGTGTATACCACAGACCTATTAGCCCAGTCAAGATGCTGCAGTGACATCTCTGTGGCCAAAAGTTTCTCTTCTTGACACATTGTAATCCATCACTGTATTGTGTGTAGGCAACTGCTGAACCTCTTTTTGCCATTCTGGATCAGTCAGCATTTTCTAGAATTTTTTGGGAATGGAATTATATAGGGTATGTATTTTGGTTTTGATATGACTTCTTTAGGATAATTATCTGGAGATTCAGTCATGTTACATATATCATTAGTTTATTGTCAAGTAGTATTACATTGAATAGCACATTGTGCGGTCACCAATAGAGATTGGGATTATTTTCACTTAGGCTGTTGTACAAATAAAGTTACTCTGATGATTGGTGTACAGGTCTTTGTGTGAACATATGCTCATTTTTCTTGAGCGGATACCTCAGAATGAAATGGCTGGATCATTTCAGATATATCATATCCAGCATTTCAAAGCACTGCCAAATGTTCTCCCAAGCAGACATACCATTTACATTCCACTGGTGGGGGCTGGAGGTGTAGCCTATTGGTACAGTGTTTGCCTAGCATCTGACGGATGTCCATGCTATCTAAACTATCTAAGGATGTCCATGCTATCTAAACTATCTAACTGACTGTCTGATTTCGGGACATGGTCTTACAGAGTCGCCATATTGCCCAGGCTGGGTTGCAGTCCCCCTGTTTGGCTTCCAAGATTGCCGGGAATGCAGGTGTATGCCACCATGTCCCACTGTTTTTTCAACTTTTGACTAATTGAACAGCTGTGTATGCTTGCAGATTGTTTCTTTTAGTAGTTTTAGGTGGCTGTCCTCTGCCTTGGGTAGTTACTACTGATAACACGTGCACTCATCTGCTGAATACTGAAGGAAGCAATAGATCTTGAGTTACTGTGCACCTCTGTGTTTGGTAATCTGTCCTGTGAACTCTGGTTATCTTGGTATCCCTTATTTCCCACCTTTACCTCCCTTTGTCACAGCTGAAGAGACTGAGAGTAAGTTATATTTCTGTCTTCATTGTATTCTTTCTCTTGTACTCACTGACCATTATTCCTTGATAGGTAGTATTTTGAAAACCAACTTCCTTCTCTCCCTCTTTTTTCTAATTTTTTTTGACACATATCTTGCTGTGTAGCCCAGACTGACCTTGAACTCACAGTAATCCTCCTATCTCATTATTTCATGACCATTATTTCATAGATTTGATTATAGTATATTAATTTCCTGGTGAGAGAATGATCCAGTCTGTGTCACTTCATGTTGGTTGCAAGTATTGCTTGTTTTATAGGTTATTTTTTTCCCCTACTCTTTTTGGTAGGAAAAAAATTTTAATACTTGTTTTTTTCTGCATTATTCCCCCATTCTCCAACCCTAGGTGGAATGTTCTGACTATCAAATTTTTGGTTTTGATTTTTTTCCTTTTGTTTTCTCTGTTTTTAGAAACTTGTAGAATGACCTTTTTTCTCTTAGCATTTTTGTTAACGACCATTTTCTTTTCATTGGTCTATATTAATGCTCTTAAAATAAAAACTTAATTTTTATCAGTATGTTTGCAATACATAATGATTGTGTTCATTGTGGGGAGCTACTACATGTACACTTCTTAATTCTTTTTACATCTACTCCTAAGTCTCTTGTACCTTTTAAGAGGTGACATTGTTGCTAACATGTTGAAACAGTTTGTCAGGTGCAGTGTATTTAGAGAAATGTGCCACTGATATGTTTGACTAGCCTCAGGCCATCAACACAATCATGGAGTGGCTTTATACCAATTTGTAGTTCATACGAAAATGTCTATACTAAAGTGTCCAGGTATTGGTAGTCTGTGTGTACTCGCACAATAAAAAGATTCCTTTGAATTTTTCCCAGGTTCATTTGATGATAAGTGATGCTATTCTCCCACATCTTCTGTTTGATCTGTCTCTCCTTTTTTTCTTGAAGTATTTTTCCATAAAGCTCATGTGATAATTTTCATTGACACAGTTCCTCTAGTACCATTGAGGTTTAGTTTAATCTTATTTAAAATTTTGTGTTTTGTGATTGTAATCAGTTTTTGTTGCCAAAGAGAATTCCAGATTCAGAAAATCACACTTATTAAATAGATTACTGAGTCATGAGGCAAACAAAGATCCTGGTATCCATTCAGATTAGGAAATTGGCCTTTGCTAATTAAGGCAGAGTGTCTTAGTTATATTTTACTCGTTGCTGAGACAAAATACCTGACGCCCAAAGTTGGGAAAGGAAAAGTTTATTTCTCACAGTTTTTGGAGGTTTCAGTCCATACTTAGTTGGCTCCAAGGCAGGGTGGCATTGCAGGGCCACAGTTCATGGCTGCTGCAAATAGCAAGGCAGAAACCTGCAAGAAAGTGAGACATACCTTCTTCCTGCCATTACATTATATGCTGGCTCCACCCCTATGTGGGTGTAGCACTGACACCATCAATCCAAGCTCTAGACAATGAACCAGTCACAAATGCATAATGTAAATGGGTGAGACCTGGGGGCCACCGACATAAACCATGACATAGAGGATCCTCTCTGAGTCCCTCACCCCTTAAGGGTGTCCTTTTTATCTTAAATGCTTTCTTATAGATTTCTGTATTTTTAAAAGTACTTTAAAAATATAGATATTGTGCCATTTTTAAGTCCTTTCATGTCTTAGTATTGCTGGGTGTTTTTTCCAGTTTTTTAAGCACTTAAAACCTTTTGTCTTTTGTGGTCAATGCTATTCTGCTGTTCTTTGGATATCTTCTTTTCAAATTTCAGTTTGGGCTTCTGTTATTAAATATATTAATGTAATCAAATACATTTCTTGACTTTGAAAGATTGGACCATTCAGGAATAATTGTCCAAATAAAACTGTCGCTAGACCACCCAATTTCTGATTTTGACAACTGTATATTTTGTTGTGTAGTTTTCATACTCAATTTTCTTTGCCAAATGAACTGAAAGATGAAATAACATCATTTATGTTTGCACTAAAGATTTACTTTGCATGTACATTTGTAGTAGAAAGGGAGGCATTGATGATGCACTTTGTTTGCTGCTTGTAGTGCAGAGGACTTACGCATAGCAAGGATAATGGATGAATACTTCAGATTGGAATACACATAACATATAGCATAGAGGGATTAGTCTTATTGGTGTCTGTATATGCAGACCAGAAGAGCCTGTGGCAGAATGGTACTCCTCAGGAATCAGTTCTTAATAGCGTCTAATGAAGAGGTACTGTCTTCATGCTGTGGTATGATATCAGAAGGTGGTTTTTTTTTTTTTTTTTTTTTGAGTGTTTGGGATTAAACCCAGGACTTTGCATATGCTAAGGAAGCACACTGAACTACAGCCCCACCCAATGTCAAACTTTAATTGAACTTCCGTTTTTTGAATTTTGAGATACTTTAAGAAGTTGATATTTATAGTGAATTTTGTATTTTATATATCCTCACAAATTTGATGAACAGACATGCGATAAGTAAAATCAGTCTGCTTCTTGTGTGGAATGTTTAGAAATTCAGATAGGATAATTAGGGCTAAATTGCTAAATAGCTCTTACATTGATTTATACATTTAAAGGAATTTAAAAATTGATTTTTAGTCATGAAGCAGCTGCATTTTCTTTTTCTAAGCATTCCAGAAATTCTTTTCTTTTAAGGCAGCCACATGGTAGTTCTACTGTGCTTTCTTGAGATAATATAGTTGGAATTTATGGTTAGGGTGTCAGAAAATCTGAAATTCATTGCTTTTGATCAGTATGTAGTCTTGAGGAAAATCACTTAACAGATCTTGCCTGTTTATTCTGTAAAATCGAGTTGGAGAGAATGTGATCTGTTATAACATTCAGGGTGGCTGTGAGGATTTGAGATTAGAATGCTTTGAAAATAGAGTAATTTTCAGTTACAACTCTTACCAGAGTTATTTTGTATTTGAAATACATTGTGTATTGATTCAACTAATATTTTTTTTTCTGTGCTAACTCTTTACCATTGTCTGTTAATGTCCAAGAGAAACTGGTTCCAAGGCCCTCTGTTAGATAATCAGAATCTGAGGATATTCAAGTCCCTTAGAAAATGTGTATAGTATTTGCTTATAACCCACTCCTATCCTCTAGTATTCTTTAAATTGACTCTAGATTACCTTTATTACCTTACACAGTATGCTATGTAAATAATAGCTCTGCAATGTTTAGCGAATGACAAGAAAAAAGGGTGTATGCTCAGTACATACTCTTTCTTTGAATTTTTGATCTGTGGTTGGTTGAACTTGAAAATGTCAGATCCACAAACATGGGATACTCACTGTGTGAGATTTGTAAGATCTAGGAGTTGATACAAGTTAATGAATTTCGTACGTTACCTACTTGGCATTGCTGGCCAAATTACTAATTCATAGTAGTTAACATCAAACTCTTAAAATTGGAAAGCCAAACAGAACTGCTTTTAAAGACAAATGTTAATCTGCTTTGGAGTTGGTGAAGTTTTGGACATGTTATTTGTCTCAGAGTGCTGAGGCTTTAAGGAACACAGGAAGCAGAGTAAGTACAGCTTTGAGATGTGCCTGCTGCTTCAATACATTGTAGGTTTTTCTCCAGCTAAATTACTTAGGAAAGTTTTTTTCTTAACTAAAAACAGACAACACTTGTATGGGAAAAAGAATTACTTAATATGCTATGATTAGGTAAACTGTTTCATTTGATTGTACAGAGTTTATTCTTTACAATCCCACCAACAATATGTGATTCCAGTTTTGCTGCATCCTCATCAGCAGTTACTCTTGTCTTTATAGTTTTAGTAATCTAGTTGTTATGAAGCTATATTCCTAGGACTGCTGTAACAAAGCATCACAAACTAGACATGTAGCTAGGCACCATAAGAAACATTTTTAAATACTGTAAACAAATGTTGAAATACATGTAGTGTGTTTAACCTTATCTTTGCTGTTCCAGATTGTATATGAACAGGAAGGGGTGTATATTCATTCATCTTGTGCAAAGACCAATGACCAAGACAGCTTAATTTCAGGAATATTACGTGTTTTAGAAAAGGTGAGTTTTTAGTAAATGATTTTATTTAATAATAGTGTTCATCTTTGAACCATTATTAAAAAGTTTGAATTTTATTTGAAAGATACAAATATATATTTGACTAGTAATTGTAAATTTAACATGAAAATAACACTTGAAATAAGCTAATAAAATAATAAATGATATTTTAAATTTTACTCTGTAGAAGTTATAATAATACAAAATTTTCACAATAAAAAAGTAAGCAGAATTAAATCTATAGAGCAGATCAAACAATGTTTGATCAAACATTTGTTATCAAACAATGGTTGATTTAACAATGTATGATTTAACATTTAAAGTGCTGGTATTTAAGGGGTTATTTTGGGTTCTGGAAGTAAAAACAAGTGGATTAAAAATGTACTTTATTACTGAATATTAAATATTCATAATTTTTTTAGGATGCTGAAGTAATAGTGGACTGGAGACCATTGGATGATGCACTGGATTCTTCTAGTATTCGCTATGCTGGAAAGGTATTTAAGAAAGAAAAGTATGGCTAAGGAAATGTACTTTTTTTTTTAAAAATTTTTATTTTGAAAGTATACAACAGAACAAGTCAGAATAAAGCCAAGCTAAGATCGTACAGTGAAATTGGTACAGAACCTCACAGCAGGTTACCAGAATAACAGTAATAGGTATCACAGTATATTTTGTTATCTTTATAATAGTTGTTCTTTCAATACCGTATATCAAAATGAGATGAAATATAGAACACTATAGAACTTATCAAAACAGAATATTGAATAGAGCAGTACCATTAATCAGAAAAGAGCAAAACAATAATAAAAATATTTGTCTTCAAAGAAATGGTAGAAGGAAGTCCCCCTTAATCACTATGGTCAACCTCCTAAGAGATGCTCAGATTTCTGGTTCCCATTTGCTAATGGGTGGGGAGGAGGAGGAGAAGGAGGATAGGGGAAGTGGGATATTTGACTCTAAGCCATGTGCAGTAGGTTCACTATTGCTAAGCAGGGAGGCAGAATGGTCATTTGTTTTCACAGCGTCCTCAGTTCCAACATGGCGTGGATCTCAGGAGACACTGCTAGTTTTCCCCCTGGAAGGGCTGCAGTGGGCCACCCTACCGCCGCTTACCAGGGAGGGGAGGTGCTGGCTTGAGGAAATGCACTTCTAAAAATAACATGTTATGGCACATGTCTGTAATCTCAGTATCAGGACGCTAAGCAGGAGGGTCACTGCACGTCTGAGGTCAGCCTCGGCTGCATAGTGAGCTCAAGGCCAGCCTGAACCACATAGCAAGACTCCATGTCAGAAACAAAAACCACGAAACAAACAAAAAACCTCCCAGCTTTATTGAGATATAATTTATATACTATAAAATTTATCCTTCTACTGTATATATTTCAGTGATTTTTAGTGTATTTACAATTGATTTCATTTTCTTGGAGACATTTCCTTCTTAACTTTCTCACAAGCTCCTTTGAACTGGTCTCTCTCTTGGCCTCCTTTGGAGCAGTAACCTTTTTTCAACCCTTCTCATATCTTTGTCTCCCTATTTCCTATACATCATGTCTATTTCTGTTTTGTTTTATTCATGTGTTTGGTGCAGCTCTGATACTTCTTGAATAAAAAGGTGCTCATGGGAGTGCTGTTACATGTGTAGTCTGTCATTGGCTGGTATGTCTTTATCTGATGCGTGACTATAAATTCTAACATACCTTTTTTTTTTTTTTTTTTTTTTTTTTTTTTGGTACAAGGGATTGAACTCACAACCTAGCACTTGCCAGGCAGGTGCTTATGCCACTGAGCTAAATCCCTGGCCCTTACCATACCCTTTTAAAACTACTGCCTAGTATTCTTCTGTTGGTGGTTATTGGGTTTTTCAATATTGTAAACAGTACTGCTCAGATAATTTTTTATTTTTGACTTTTTGAGATAGGGTGTTATGTGGTTCAGGTTGGCCTCGAACTCATAGCAATCCTCATGCCTCAGCCTCCCAAGTGTGGGGATTACAGGTGTGCACCATCACACCTGAAAGAAAAAAAAGTTTTTGAGACAGGATCTCACTGTGTAGCCCAGGCTGGCCTCAAACTCATGGCAGTCCTTCTGCCTCTGCCTCCCAGGTGCTGGGATTACAGGCCTGCACCATCATATGACAGAAAATTCTTGTGTATGCGTTTTTGTGTATTTCTTTAGGGTACTTGATGAAAACATATTTTGAATTATAATAAAGAAAGCTGAATTGCCCTTTGAAGTTAGTACCAAGCATAGTTGTCAGCAGTGTAAGATAGTAGTCCATTGGGGCTGGGGATTTAGCTCAGCAGGCATAAGCGGCCTGCCTTGCAAGCACGTGGTCGTGAGTTTGATCCCTGGTACCAGGAAAACAAAACAAAACAAAACAAAACAAAAATAGTAGTCCGTTTTCTCTCACTGTGTTTCATATTTGATATTATCTTCTTTTCTCTTTTTTCTCCCTTCCCTCCTTTCTTTTCTTCATGTCTTCTCCCTATAAGGTCTCACTGTTACCTATACTGGTTTCAAACTTATAGATTCAGGAGATCTTCCCATCTTGGCCTCCTGAGTAGCTGGGATTAGAAGTATGTGCTGCCACTGCTACCTTGAAAACTATCTGTTAAAAAAATTGGGGCAAAAAAAAAAAATAGAAATCTTACGTTAATTTGCTTTTTTGAAATTGTACTGCATATGGACATCTATCTATATGTTGGTCACTATATTTTTTGACTTGGCTACTCATGCCCTTTGCTTTTTTTTTTTTTTTTTTTTTTTTTTTTACTGTTTTTATATTTGTGTATTTCTTAGTAAAGTGGTAGTTGTGGGTTGTTTTGTTTTGAGACTGGATCTTTCTGTGTAGTTCAGGCTGGCCTTGAACTCGCAGCTGTCTGGTCCTTTTGCTTTAGCCTGCTGAGTGCTGAGATTAAGCTGTTCACTACTATACACCATACATAGCTAAGAGTTGTTTTCTTGTTTGGTGGTTTTTTTTTTTTTTTTTTGTGGGGGGAGGTCTGTCATATATTTTCAAAACATTTTATTCTAGTCTTTAACTTTGTATAAAGTCTTTTGTTATATAGAAGCTAAATTTTGTGGTTTTTTTTTTGGTTTTTTTCTTTTTTATCGTACCGGGGATCAAACTCACGACTGCCTGCTTGCAAGGCAGGAGCTTATGCCGCTGAGCTAAATCCCTAGCCCCGAAGCTAAATGTTTTATTTAGTCAAAATATTTATATTGCATTTTAGAATTTTTATTTTATTCCTTTTAAAAACTGAATGTTTTATACAACTCTACTTATAGAGATGTTGCTTTTAGCAAATTTTGATTGCCAGTAAGAAAATACATAGAATGATGGCTTACATAATTTAGCTATTTTCCTCCAGAAACTCAAAGTCTAGAAACTGGGTACTTTTTGCAGCGGTTCTCTTACTTTCTCTTGACATAAAGTGGCTGGTGTTTTTAGACAACATGACTACATTCAAAGTAGGAAAAGAGAAAAGGAATGGAGCTTTTATTACGAAAGCAAAACATTTCCAGAAGTCCTGACTTGACAGCTGCATATTTTTTATTGGCAACCCTAACTGCAAATGAGTCTGGCCAACCATTTTGCACTTTTTTGGTGAAAGTGAACATGGAAGAAAAGGCTAAGAAACAGGGTTCAGTTGCCTGCCTCAACTTATAGAGCTAACAGTACAAACAGATATTGTGGATTGAAATTAAATTTAGTTTCAGAGTTTACATATTTCCGTGTTATAATTATTTTAGGACTCCAGTTCGGTTGTGGAATGGACCCAGGCCCCAAGAGAAAGAGCTAATCGAGGTGTGGAACATCTGAACAGTTATGAAGCTGAATGGGATATGGTTAACACAGTGTCTTTTAAAAAGAAACCACATACCAATGGAGGTATGAATTAAATCTTTTGAAACTTAAACTGATTTACTACAACATAATCTACTAGTAAATATAAGTGCAAGGAAAATTATCTAAAGCTTCAAGTCAGAAGGATGATTTGATGTGTTAATGTGTATAACTCAATGTCTAGTTATATTCCATTTTCTTTCTTTTTTTTTTTTTTGGTTGTGATTTCAAAAAAGGAATTAACACTTGTTCTTTTTTTGGTATTTCTAATGATAAAAAATAGAAACACTTTTTTTGTTCTTGGTACCCAAACTCACAACCTCTTGCCAGGCAGGTGCTTATGCTACTGAGCTAAATCTCCCAATAGAAACACTTTTAAAAGTTATCTTTCACCCACATTTTTATTAATCGTGTAGAACTTTAAAAATCATTTCATTTCATCAAGAAGCCCTGGAGGGAGATGGAGTATACTATTAAATGATATTCTAATTTCAGTGCTTACTGGCATCTTCACAGCTCCTGCCATCTCCCTCTTGTGTAGATTCAGTTTTTGTTCCCTTTTCCATGTTTCATTCCATATGTGTGCTGTGTGGTGATTTTCTTACATGTAGTTAACAAAGGTCAAGCTAATAGCTGGACATTATACAGTATTTACTAATTGATGTAAGGGAAATGTCCTTACTCATAGGATATGTATACTGTACCAAATAAGGCCTACCTAGATATCTATGATGAGGCCAGCCTATTTGGGGTTGCTTTAAAATAAATATTGAACACTTGTAAAAAGTTGAAATGTGAAGTTTTTTATTTTTTTTGATTGCTTTATATTTTATAATAGGATATTTTCTTTCTTAAAAATTTTGGCCTGAATTTGGGAATAATCCATGTTTAACTATTCAGAAGCTGACCAAAGCTTACTGGAGGATGTAGATAGAGTAGTTACACTTTACACTTCTTCGTGTCTAGGGAACAGTGGCATTTAAGAAATAAAGAGTATTTCATAAGCTTTTGATAACAATCAGCTTGTTTGTCAATGTGTTTTTTGAAAAAGGCATTTGGGCACTGAAAGGGTATGTTCTTACAGTCAGGTAAATAACCTGCAAGATTTTACTTTATGTGGAGAGTGAGGTGGTTTTACTCCTCTACACTAAATTGTCAGGATTGGTTTACGTGAAATATTTCTGTGATGATGACTAACGCTATTGTTCTTGAAGATGAAAGAGTATAAGAATGAGCAGAAAAATTGAGATTAAGAGTTTCGTAAAAAAATGGGACATTACAAGGATGAGAGAATCATGATCTGGCAATAGAGATCACTTTAGGTTGTAGTTCACAGTCTTGCTTGCACATTGAAGTTTTGAAAGAGAAAACAAAACACAAAAATTCAGACTTGGGATGGATCCCAGGTATCTGTGTTTAGAGTGGTTTTAACGTGTGGTCAGAGATAAGAACTTGTATAGATGTGGAGTTTATCACAACCCAAGATATGAGTACTGTGACTTTGCCACACACTGACTTACAAAGTAAATAGACTTCATGCTGTAACTTGTTTTTTTTGTACCGAGGATTGAACTCAGGACCTTGCGCTTGCCAAGCAGGCGCTTGTGCCACTGAGCTAAATCCCTGGCCCCTGTAATTTTCTTTTCTTTATTTATTTGGTACCAAGAATTGAACTGAAGACCTTGGCTTGCCAGGCAGGCGCTTATGTTGCTAAAAAACCAGCCTTATGCTGTAATGTTTAGAGTCAAAAGAAACAACTTCTAAGAAATTAAAGTCTTATAAATTTTTATGAGACACGTGGTTTTTTTTTTTAAAGTTTTGAAAACTTTTTTTCTTTTTTAGCCTTCAGGTTTTTTCCATTTGTGAAGCACAAAGGAAACTTGGGATAAAGCTTTAAGAATATTGACTGTTTTAACTCTGTATTTCTTAAGAACATTTATGTTTCATAAGTTTATATTGCTAAATCCTTTGTTTTTATATACCAGATTAAATATTTTGAAATTATTTCCCAGACCTGTAGTCTGTCATCATATTCCAGAAATCATCCAAATTAAATGTCATGTTCTTTTTTTTTTTTTTCTAAATGTCATGTTCTTGATGCTGATTCTTTTCAAGACTGTGGAGACTTACTGAATTATTTATAGTTTTTCTTTTCTGCTATTCAGTTTCCCCATGTCATTGTGTTGGAAATAATTTTTGCAAGTCTTTGGTTACATAGTAAGTTTATTAGAACTATTTACCTTCTCTTAAAGGAGAAAGAAAGAAGTTTTGAGTTAACTGTTGGCTTTTTCTTTATAAGCGTTTCTTTTTCTAGTCAACTGTTAGCAGCAGACTAACTTGCAGATTACTTATATATTGACTTGGTACTAGATTATGAGAGTAAAACATCTTTGATTACCTACTATCTGTTAGTCAGTCTTCAAGTGCTGGAGGTATACTTATGATCACAAGATAAAGGTCCTATTCTTTTTTTTTTTGAGACAGGGTCTCTATGCAGTTCAGGCTGGCCTTGAGTTCACTTAGCCAACACTGGTCTTGAACTCGCAACGGTCCTCCTGCCTAAGCCTCCTGAGTACTGGGATTACAGGTGTGAACCACCACTCCTGGCAAAGTTCCTATTCTTATAAAACTTGTATTATAGAGGAGGGACTTGCAGAATTAACTTACAATATTTCTCTCATCTTTTAGACCTTTACGTGAACAAATGTGTGAGCCTTTTTTTTTAATCTTATACACTATGTAAAGAAAAATGTCTATAAGTAATTTGCTTTTGTACAAGTTTCTAATAACTCCTAGCCAGCATATACTATTTAAGCATTTTCATGTGACTTTTCTTATATTATTTCAGATTAAATAGTCTTCATATGATAGAAGAATTAAAAAAATTATATCTGGCTCTCCATTGCTGTTTTTTTGTGAAAATTTTAGTTTTTGCAAATAAACTACTAGTATGTATCCTTTCTGGGTAGTTCAGGTACATTTACGCTTAGACGATTCATGGATAGGCTGGAATTCTAGAAATGTTCACATGTGTATCACATTTTAGTGGTCTTATGAGGACTGTACCAGTGAGACGTGTGTAACCAAGTGGGCACATGGCACTTATTTTAGTTTCAGCCTTAGAAATGGGTATACCATTCAGACAAATGTGGAGAAGCTAGACAGATCAGTGTTTATAACCTTTCTGGACATCTTTTAAATGATACTTGTTCAAGTATCCATAAAATAGTGATAGTTCCTGAATTCCTTGTAAATAGAGGGTTTTGTAAACTATAGATTTTGCTCTGATTTTAGGAAATCTTGTTGGGAATATGGAACTGTGGTGTTCCTGATTATATAGGAAGGTGATGCATATACAGGTCAGCATCAGTTGATCAAGTCCTGTAACTAGCTGCTTTCTCTGGAATGTGTGAATAGCAATAATGACACTTCTTTTGAAAAAACATTAGAGAAAATTTTTTTTAAAGTTTTTGAGCCACAACATCTTTATATTTAAATTATTAAAGTGACATTTTAGAAATTAATTTTAAGTAATATTATCATTATTGAGATTTTTTTCTTTGCAGTATATAATTTCAATAATCTTTAAGATGCTTGTTAACAATTGAGATGATGTTCACAGTTGTAGCATTTTACCTTCTGTAAAAATATCCACAAACCCTAAAAAATGCTGAATATAACTATAACTATAGTTGGCAAGATGATTGAGTGTAACTCTTTTCTTTTTGAGCCTATCTCTTCATGCTTAGTTCTCCTTGTTTTTTAAAATTTCCCTCAAAATGCCTATCTGTATAGTCACTCCAGTGTTAATTTATTTATGGCCAGTATGTTTACATTCATTATCAGTGGAGTTTCTTAAAGATAATTATAAAGTACGTGAAGAAATACTTTATAGAAAATAAAATGACTTTCCCGAGATATATCTTTTTATTTGCAGGGAGTCGGAAAGATTCGTATTTATTAATTATTTATGGTGCACTTGGCCTGTACCATTAGTTGACAAGAATTACCTTTTAATTCTTAGACTAATATTGGGAGGTAAGTATAATTATCTCCATTTACAAAATAAAACGAGGCGTAAAAGAGATTAGTTATTCACATCATTCAGTTAGTAAACTGGTAGCATTACAGTTTGAATCCAGCCAGCACGCTTCCGAAAAGCCACAGTCTTTTTTTGGGCAGAGCTTATATTTTACATAGGGATAGCATTTTTTGAATTTGTGTGTGGCAGGGTGATTGTTTCAAAATCATTCTTTTTAGGAAAATGTTAACGTTGCCATTTCTAATACAGGTTAAAACCATAGTAATATGAAAGCTATAGTGATTCCTTAGGGTCAGCAAGTTTGTTAGGCAATCACAATGAGCACTGTCAATACCTTTTAAAAAAGGTGAACAAAAATATTTTGCTCCATTTTCTTGTTTTTAAGATGCTCCAAGTCATAGAAATGAGAAAAGCAAATGGTCATTCCTGTTCAGTTTGACAGACCTGAAATCAATCAAGCAAAACAAAGAGGGTATGGGCTGGTCCTATTTGGTATTCTGTCTAAAGGATGACGTCGTTCTCCCTGCTCTGCACTTTCACCAAGGAGATAGCAAACTACTGATTGACTGTCTTGAAAAATATGTGGTATTGTGTGAGTAAGTATCAAATTATTTTCTACTTATTGAAACTGGATTGATATATTAATCCCAAGGCAAATTATGTTTATTTCTCATTGGGAAGCAATGATCTATGAGAGAATATCGGCAGCTTTATTTTTTCTGAGATATTGACTCTTTTGGGTCAGTGATTGAGTGAAGTGTTACTATTTTAGTAATTTGAATCTGAGACTTACCACGTTAGTGTTTTGAAGTTTGACCTAATATTTTATGCATTTGTTTAAATGGATGATGGATTATGTGTTAGTAATTGATGAATTACATGGTTACAAATTTATCTTTTAGTACATTAAGTATAGTTTTATTTGTAATGTTGGAACTTTGTCAGGCAAGCTTATGTCCTTTATAGAGTTATTTGTAGATCTGATGACTATGTCTTCTTTTTAATTTTTGCAGTGCTGAGATTTAAGGCCTTACATATGCCAGGCAAGCACTGCACCATGACCTTCTACTTTGCAAAAATTATGTCTCATTTATTTACCTGTACACATACATACATCCATACGTACTCTTTTGGTCTCATCCGCAACAGATATTTTTTTGCTATTTACTACTTCCCAGGAACCCTGCTAAAGTTATGTGATATGCATTAGTGAGCAAAACAATCATCTTGGATCTGTGAGATATTACGATCTTGTGAAAGATGCTTACAAGTAAATGGCAGTTAACACTGTAGAACTAAAGTGGAAGGAGTAGAAAGAGATGTTTAGTGAGAAGGAAGTTTTAGAAGGAGGAGGAGTACAAACACAAAAGTTATAGAATAAGATGTAGTTCATTGTTATAGGTCTGCAAAATGTGAGAGGAAAGAGTACCAAAGATGAGTTCAAAGAGCTTGGTAAAGGTCAGAGAATAAAGGATCTAGTCAGTTGTGTTAGCAGGTGTTCCCATCATCCAGATGAGATTATGGTGGCCTGAAATTAGGAAAATGACAAGCAAGATGGAGGAGGTATTAGAGAAATACTGAAGGTTAGATTTTGTAGTTGGGTATGTGAAGTGAGGTTGGAGAAGTACAAGTTTTGGTTTGGGAGAACTGCAGGGGATCTTCAAAAGAGTTTATAATAGCTTGTCTAAACTTAAATCATTTAAGTCTGGGAGTAAATGAGAGTTGGGAGATTTTGATCATGTATTTTCAAGCATGAGATTTTTCTCCTTCATGTTGACCGCCTCTGGCTCACAGAAGGCATGCCATTTCTGTACCAGTAAATATGAGGAAGTCAGGCCTGCTTAGTGGTATGTCAGTTTTGGATCATGAAGAGAGAAACTGTGAGTAGACTATCATTGAGAAGATTAAATAGATTCAGGAGAGGCAGTGTCCTGATTGGAACAGAAGATTTTGGCTGTTGCATAGCAAGCATTGACTTTAAGGTTTTAGCACCAAAGTAAGCTCATCAGTGTTGTGATATAACTTAAGAGAAGCTCATTTGATTTGACTGAAGCATAATCTCTGGAATGATGGAAGTGTTGCAGTCCCTCCATTCTTTACTGGTAAGATCATACTGTGGAGAAGCAGGCAGTGCATTTGAAGTGTGCCAGACTAACTGGCCTGCACTGAAGAGATAACCAGCATAGAGAGGAATTAAAGTGGTCATAGGAAAAGTATTTCAAGGATGTGTAAGTTTATTGTGAAGAATCTAGTGCAGCATTAAATAAAATCCAGTCAGTCAGTGGATTCCCAGCTTCTTCCTGTGGTCACTGTGGATGTGCCCTGTGTTAGCTTTGTTTATATCTTTAACGTCATCTCATGCGGTTCTCTTCTCTCTGTTTTCCTTTCAGTTCATAAAATCCCTTAAACTCTTTCTTTAAATTGTTTCTTTTGCTGGGAATATTCATTCCCTTTTCTGTTCTCTGAGATCTCAGTTTCATATTTTTTCAAAGGGGCTTTTCCTGAATATCCCCTTTCCAGTCTAATCTGATTGCTACCTCCATTCCTTATTCCCTATCTCATTTCTCTATTTCTTAATTGCATTTAAGAGCATACAGTACTTTTGTCTATTTTGTGTTCTGTGTTTGCTGTAGAATATAAGCTTCATAAATACAAGAATTGTTTCTTGTTTTCATTTTTTCCTCAGTTTCTAGGCACAAAGCCTAGTATATATCACAGACACAGCTGTGTTGAATAGATGGCTTGGTAATCAGTTTACTAACAGTAACTTTGAAAGATAAAAAATAAGTTGTAGGTTTCTGTAACTCCAAGGAGAAATTAAATCAGGAGACAGGAAATAAACTCAGAAGATAGAATTTTCTGTCATATGATTTTAAAGATAGTGTTGATAACACTTAGGCAATTATAGGAATATGTGTATCTTCAATGTGTTTTTTTTTCCGAGATGCATGAATCCAATCTTCAATGTGTTTTAATAGCATTTTAATGAGAATATTTAGTGAAATCTAGTTTCGTTTTCTGAACTTGTAAACATATGTGATAAAAATACCATTATTACTCACCCCAAAGAAATTCGGAACTCCCTCAGTTACTGTCACTTGTGGCCAATCACAGGCATCCCTAGTGAGGACAGATCACTTGCCATGTGAGTGAGAACACCAAATAACATATAAGACCCCCAAAATTATGGCAGACAGATACCTAAATCTCTTCTAGTCTCAGCATCCAGGTAGGATTTTCTTTAAATGTGTTTATTTCTACTTGGAAACATGAATTGGTGAAATAGGTGTTCTTCCTTACATGTTTTATTTTTTCATTAAAAAAGTTTTTAGGCTGGGGATTTAGCTCAGCAGCATAAGTGCCTGCCTTGCAAGCAGGCAGTCATGAGTTCTGTCCCCGGTACCGATAAAAAGGAAAAAGACAAAAAAAAAAAAAAAAAAAAAAAAAAGTTTTTAAAGCACCTACTATGTCTTACATATATCAGTACTACAAATTAGAAATATAGCAGAAATTTAAAAAGGATATGTTCCTTGCTTTCATGGACTTTGTAGTGTTATAAGAAAGACAAATGTCAGTTAAATACTGTAAAATTTGTGCTGTAAAAAAGTACTGTGAATAAGACATACGGTATGATAGCCTATAATAAAATATGTAAGCTTTTGTGTGCAATAGTAATTGAAAGTAGTGAGCTCAACTAATGGGGAGGATAAAGTGGGATGAGATGTGAGCGAGCCTAAGGGATTAATTACAACTTTTAATGATTTGGCCAAAGAGAAAAACTAGACACTGAAAGTAGCCTTCCTAAAATTTGATCTTACTGATTTTAATCATTAAGTTTATGATCCATCAGGATGTTTTTGAGAGAGGAGATACTTGTGTGAAGTGATTACTTTAAAATTTTTCTGGAATGTCAGCCATTTCTCCTTTGTATATTCTCCTAGAGAGAAGTTTACTTTTTGCCCATGCATAATCTGAAATGTGTAGACAATCCACCAAATATTTTATCTCTAAGGCTCTCATTGATACTGTGTGAAGACTGATGCCCCTACAAAACAAGTGTGTCTTGTTTCATTTCCTTTTAGAAATTATGCCAATTATTAATGCCTTATATAGCACAGTCAGATTCTTACAAAATTTCAAGTTCCTTGTTCTTGTTAGTTAGGATCCAAGTAAATGGAATTCTCAGATAGTTAAAGTTCAGGGAAATAAAAGCTTCTAAATATTATCCTAAAATTTCATTCTGCTTGGTGTCAGCATGGGGCTGAGGTGTCTTGTTTCTTGTCCTGAAGTAATTGTCTAAAGCAAATTAAGCCTTCCAGATTATTTCTCTGGTCACAGATCACAAAGAAATAGATAACAAAGAAGGTATAGACAAGGAAAACCTTAGTTTCAGTCTCACTTGGAATGCCAGCTAGTCAGTGAATGCCCTGGATCACCCTTCCTATCTTTTTTACCTGAGTTAATAACCAAGAGAATTGGATGAGAGACTGTTAAGTTATTGAATGTGACTTGCGCCTTGGCTGTTACCTTATGACTATATTCCGTAATGAGTAATTTTTGTTCTGTACAGAGCAGGCTTTCTTGTTACAGGAGCAAGAGTTCTTGCCACCCCGTGGATGAGGAGAGAATGCCAGTGCTGTAGGGATGGGTGGTCTTAGAAGAACCAAGAACCACGCAGAGGTTAGGTTAACTGCATAAATTTGTTTTTCAGCCTCTAACCTGATCAGGCAGAACAGAATAGCCTGGGTTCTTGAGGCTGTTTCTCAAATGATTTCATTATCGTAGGAGTCAGTATATTATACTCCCTGAAGGTATATTAAGGGCCCTTTAGTCTTAACATTTAAAACATGATGTTCAGGGGCATAAAACCATGAGTCACACTTTTTTTGACCTTTCACTAAATTGATTGTTAGGCTATGAGTAGAGCCTGTTGACTGTATTACATTATTTTGTATATTGGCCGTTTTTGTCATACATACTTATTTAAGCAGTAAAATATTCTAAAAAAGCCAAATTGATTTTATTGTACAGCATATAGATTAGATACTAGGTATAACATTTTGTTATTGTGAATGTTTATATCTTTCTTTTTTATTCACCTTTTTGATTGATAGCTTTTGCAATGATATTTGTTTCTTTAGTTTTACATATTGGTCAGTCTCAATAACAATATAAAGTTACTGCTTCTTCTCAGAGCACAAACATTGTGCAATTTAGTTTCTGGAGCTTATTCTGAGGTCTTAGTCTACCAAAGAAGCTCACTATAGAGTTTAGGAAGCACTTCACAGGATTTCCTGGAGGTGTATCATTGTATCATTGTGATATTAGACCACGTTTTGTTAAAGTCTTCAGTGGGCGGTAGTGGAATTAGAAGTGCTAGTATTGTTGCAATGACTTGAAAGTCTTAAATAATGTTGGTGTGGAGAGGGGTGTGCGTCTCATCGTCTCAGAATATATATTTACAAAGTCTGTCATAATTTGACAATCAGAAACATTGTAATAATATCTTAGAATTCTCTTCTTCCTCTTGAAGTGTGTTTGTCTAGCATTATACTATTTGTCCTTTGACTGATACACTTTTTAGTATTTAGTTGATTTCATTCATGACAGTAACATTTTAAATTTCATTGTTTTTTTTCCTCCTGGAGGTTCTCTCCATCACAAAATATTAGTTATAAAATATATTTACTTTTTATGAAATTGTTGTGATTACTTGTAGTCTTCTATCTTCAGTTTAGTGGCTACTGCTTGTTATAGAACCATAATTATAGCAGTGTTTTGACATCGACGATCACCTTTTGATTTTAAAGAAATAATTCAGTGTAATTTATTGTTAGAAATAAAGTAACTGCGGGAGCTATAGTGCTGTACTAGGAAACAGATTTGTTCTTACAGTAACTACTTTTGCTTTCAGGTGCTGAATTAGAAGTTGACCTATCATTTAAAAAAACCTTATGATACACTGTATGTCCTCAGTTACCACTCCAGAAATGTCCAGAAAAGTGTATTTAAGGAAAATGGAATGTTTTTTGAAAAGTATTTTTTTGCTGGGTGTGTTGGCACATACCTATAATCCCAGTACTTAGGAAGCTGAGGCAGGAGGATCTCTACTAGTTTAAGGCCAACCTTAGCTATAAAGTGAATTCAAGGTCGGTGTGTCTCAAAGAGGCAAAAAAAAAAAAATGTTTTTTGTTTTGCTTTTCTGTCCCACTATGTCAAATGACTCAACCTCAGCTTCTTTTAAAAATGCTACGGAGAGCCAGGCGTGGTGGCTCATATCTATAATTCGAGCACTGGGGAGGCCGAGGCAGGAGGATCATTTGGAGTGTGAGGCTTGCCTGGGCTACAAAGTGAGCTTAAGGCCAGCCTGAACTGCATAGTGAGCCTCTGTCTCAAAAAGGCAAAAAACAACACAAAACAAAAATGCTAAGGGGTTTATTAGCTGGTATTGTCTCTTTAGATCCAGTGTTGTTTCTGACTGTAAGAATAAGATACTGTTTTGGATTTCATATCCCCTCTAGCATTACATTTGCATCCTGTAACATTAGAAATGAGAAGAGATAACTGTTATTAATGATCTTATCTCAAACATTTATAATAAACTAAAGGTGTACAGCAGCAAAATAGCACATTTAATTTTTATTTTAAGCACCAAAAAGTTGAAGGTTTATTATAACTAAGTCATAAAACTTACTGAGTAGAAAAGACTAGATATTTGATTATTTGAAACTAGGTATCTGTTTGAGAAGCATGTTATTTTTTATTTTTATTTTTGGTACTGGAAATTGAGCTCACAATCGTGTGCTTGCCAGACAGGTGCTTATGCCACTGAGCTAAATCCCTGGCCGAAAGCATGTTATTTTGTAGTTACTAAGGGAGTGAGACTTGTTTCTAGAGTTTGAATAGACAAGAAAGCTAAAAACAAAAACTGAAAAATAATCTTGTTAAATGTTTGTATTTCTAGTCACAGTTAGCATGACTAATAATTTTTGTCAGATAACCACTGTATTTTGTATTTTTAACATCTTGTGTTGCAGTAGTATAAGCTGTAGAATGAAGATAGGAGCCATGTCAAAAGAAGACATTTTTTATATTGTACATATTTATTTGGTGCAATCTATAGTTGTTTGGCTTTAAATTTATGGTAATAAAGGCAGATAGATACATTATAAGACTAAGTAAGCAAGAGTTTCAGTTCATTACAGCATTAAACATTAAACATTTTTGGTTTTAAGTAGAATAAAAGTATACATCATTTGTTTTTGTTATGTCATCATTTAACGGAATACTTGTTAATGTTTCATGTTTTGAAGCTCGTTTAAGATATTTATTAAATACTTGCTAATGTGCTAATGGGACACTTCTGGAACTAAATTAAGATTATTGTTAGCAAAAGTAACTGTGTATTGGTAATAGGTAGTAATGAATATGCCGTAGTAGTATTTTCTATAAATCTCTTTTTTCATTACAGATCTCCACAAGATAAAAGAATACTTCTTGTGAATTGTCAAAATAAGAGTCTTTCACAGTCTTTTGAAAATCTTCTTGATGAACCAGCATATGGTTTAATACAAGTATGTTTCTTAAATCTGTTGTGTAATAATCTATTAATTTGATTATTTTATATAGCCCCTGCTTGTTACCTTTACTAGAATAATACAGGTATATATGCAGTCTTTATGGAACTGTGCTGTGTAATTTAATAGAGGCAATATGTTCCATAACATTTGCAGTACCCAGAAACTTTGCTTATGAGGTACCAGAGCTTAAGCCTAGGCAAGGGCTCCACTACTGGGATGCATCCCTGGCCTGCTTTAAGGCCTAGTTTAAGGCCAATCTTAGGGGTGACAGCTGATCTTAGAGGTACTACAAACTTTCTTAATTATTATTAAGGGGTGATACTTGACCTGAGACCTCTGCGAGTTTAAAAGCAAATTTTCTCTTTACCATAGTCCTGATAGTAAGCATCGATAGATTTTTATAAAGTTTTCATTGATTAGTAAGGTTTAACAGGATAGAAACTCTGAATTCATTAATGATCAGTTTAGGAAAAATTTGGGTTTGAATATTCTAACAAATACAGTATTTGAGTGTTTACTATGTTTTGGGCACATTTTTCCTTAGTTTTGAAGATAGATCAATGAGTAATAAGGAATTTTTTAGAAAGGAGGATGAGTGAGCTAAACACTTGACAGTAAAAAGTGAAGAGACAGCTATTCTTACGAAAATAATCAGTTATTTAATACCAATTTCTGCTAATTTGAATGAGTAAACAACTTGGTCTTCAGAAATGACTATGGCACTTACCAATAGAAAAGCGTTTTGTTGTTTTCCAGGAAAGCAGTACTTAATAGTAGAAAAGCTTTTTGTTGTTTTTCTAGGATAGCACTGCCCCAGAAAAAATTATTATTTCTGTACTATAAATATAAGAAAAATAAAATGTCAGCTAACATTTACCTGTCAAGCTTTTAAATTTAGCTATCAAATATTTTATTTTTGACATTCTCTGATGGTTTGGTGGTTAGAGTTTTGCATTTTCAAATATTTGCGTTAGACTAGTGTAGTGCATACTTCAAGGAGTATTTGTTTATTTTTGTTAAGGCAAGACTGCTAGACAGAAGAAAGCTGTTGTGGGCCATTCACCACTGGAAAGTAAGCACTGCATATATTTCTGATGTATGCAGATAGAAAGAAGGCTGCAAATCATCCTTTTCCCTGCAAATCTATGAGTAGCACTAACCTACCATTTATTATGCTGTTTTTAATCAAATGAAATGGTTGGCTTAGAAAATTTAAACTTTTCTTTAAAGAAAACAAATTTCAAGATAATCTTAGAACACACTGTTTTAGTTCTGATTTCCCCTTTTTTAATAAGCTTTGTTTTTTTGCTATTATGGAATATTTTTACTCTTTTTTGATTTAATAATGCTAATGTTTTTTCTTCCTACTCCATAGAAAATTAAAAAGGATCCTTACACAGCAACTATGGTAGGATTTTCCAAAGTAACAAACTACATTTTTGACAGTTTAAGAGGCAGTGATCCTTCTACACATCAACGACCACCTTCAGAAATGGCAGATTTTCTTAGTGATGCCATTCCAGGTCTAAAGATAAATCAACAAGAAGAACCAGGATTTGAAGTCATCACAAGAGTGAGTGGAGATTTCTCTTAGTGTAGCTGATTTTTTATAGTGTTTATGCCTAATGCTGTAGAAATAGAAACAGTGTTTTGGTGATGCATAGCTGTTTGCTATTACCTATTCTTACAGCTTTTTGCTGACTAATATATCTGACAGTGTATACTGACCTGCTGCCAAATTCTTGATGTGTTTTCCATATTCATCTATTACTTGTTGTTGTATTATTTATTACTATTACTTAATGTTGTATCCATTTCTTTTACTGCTTTTTGATAATGAACAAATTGTTTCATTGAGCACATAGAAGTGAATAGTGAACTTCGCATATTCTCTTAGTTTTGTTCCTCGTTTGTATGTTTTCTCAGTAGCCCTCCTTTAGAATTTTGTTCTCATGTAAATCTTTCATTCCAAGTAAGTTTCCCTCTGAATTGTGGCAGATCTTATATATAAGCAATAAGACTTCAAATTGCTATAATTCTAGGCTTGCTTATAGTTAAAAAGTTACAAATATGTAAGTTGCAATGCTGAAAGGTTTTTCTAAAATCTTGCAAATGGTATTTTTAAATTGCCAATTTTGGTTAAGTGAATACAAAACTATAGAAATTACCAAGTGGAGCTAATGGGCCATGAATCAGTTTTGAGGATTACAACTTAAGTATGAAAGAAAAGATAATTATGATTAATGAAACAATTATGTATTTTCTCTATTTTAAATAATAAACCATTTGGCCTGATTTACATGTTAAATGTTCTATATTTATATAATTGAAATTTCAGTTAGCAAAGAACTGACAGCTTCCTTTCCCTTCCTTCCTGTTCGAAGATGAGTCTCAGCATTTATTTCAGGCTGACCTTGAGCTCTTTATCCCATGCTGGCCTCAAACTTGCCATCTTCCTGCCTTAGACTCCTTGAATACCTTTTTTTCTTAAATGACAAATGTTTTTAATCTGTGGGATTTCCTTTCAAAATTTGTAGCCCAGCAGGAAATGTAATTCTGACAGTTTGTAAACTAAATACTGGAAAAATTAAATATTGGGAAATATGGAAAAGTATTAGAAGAGTTAGAACTAATATCTGAAAAATAGTATTGTGGATTTAGTTTTTATATATCTTGATTTCATGTCACAAACTGGTTAAAGAAGTGCTTTTATTGCTAATCTTATTTTAGATTGATTTGGGAGAACGACCTGTTGTTCAAAGGAGAGAGCCAGTATCACTGGAAGAATGGACTAAGAACATTGATTCTGAAGGAAGAATTTTAAATGTAGATAATATGAAGCAGATGATATTTAGAGGGGTAACTTAAATACTTCACCATTGATTGTCTGATAAACTGCTAGTGTTCAGGGTTGCTTTTTTTCTTAAGAGCAGGAAGGAGTTTCTTTATTTTTTTTATGAATGATGCCTTAAGATTTCTGCTTTCAGTTTTACTGAGTGAGGTGTTTACAGTTTCCTTGGGGTTAAGTATGGGAATACTCTTGACCCTAGAGTAAAACATTCTTCCTTATTGTAGTTTCTGTGGGTCATGTGAAGGAAGCATGTATCTCAGTGACGTTTGCTAGATCCAGTAAAGTTGGGCTAATATGCATCAGTGCTACTTTCCATTATGCAGTCTACTATATACCCTTATCATTTAAGCTTTCTGGTAGCTGTTTACATCCTCAGATTCTAGAAGTAAAAAATAAGATAGCATTCACATAGTAGAGCTATTAATATGTGTTAAACTACCTCTTAAACACTAGTTTTCTTATTTACAAGTTTTGTGAACTTACATTTATTCTTTTTTCTAATGTTTAATATGCATGCTTTCTTTAGGGTCTTAGTCATTCATTGAGAAAACACGCATGGAAATTTCTGCTGGGTTACTTTCCTTGGGACAGTACTAAGGAGGAAAGAACTCAATTACAAAAGCAAAAAACGTAAGTAATGATCTATGTATGTGTTCATCAAAGAAATTCAAGTAATTCAACCATACAAATTAACAGAAGGTTTCTAGCTGAAGATTTAGAATAATTTTGGTAGTGGAAAATTTTGTATTTTTATTGTTTTAATTTAAAAATTATGAGTACTGTAATTTCAAACAAGGAACATTAGAAGGAACTAGTTATGTTAGAAAATACGTAAAAAGATAGTAAAAAAATTGTAGTCCTCTTGTGCCAGCTTTGAGCACACCTTTCATTTACTTAATAATTATTTAGACATACACTAATTTTTTTTTCTTTTTCTTTTTTGATCTTTTTGACCCAAGATATGCTATGCATTTCAGGCTACACTTAAACTAACTTAGTAGCCCAGGGTGACCTCAAACTCACAGTGATCCTCCTTCAGCCTCCTGAGTGCTGGGATTGCAGGCATGTGCCATCACACCCAGCTTGACAAGCATTATGTATTGTCTCAGTTAATTTTTCAGTTTATTATCAAATAAATTCAGGTCATTGAAGTATATTTGCTCTTTAAGGTACTTTCCTTTAAATTATTTACTGATGGTTCCTTTTTGAAATGTTATTATTTTTAAGTTATTTCTCATACTTGAAGCAGTTTCAGCTTTCCAGATACACTTGTTCCTAGTGGTCATTCTAGCCTTTGTCAGTCTCACTACTTTCAATTATTAAGTGTGTATTTGCATTTTCTTGATAGTCCAATCCTAAAGATATTTTTATATTAACAAGTTTCTGTAGTAAAGTGGGTATAAAATGAAACGCTTGTGTCACATTTTTGAAAAAACAAAAATCATTTAGATTTGTACTTAAATTCTTCAGAAACTTTAGTGGTTAATTATATATTTTTTTAAACCAGGGACTTGCTGTGTAGCACAAACTGGCCTTGAACTCACAGTGATCCTTGTGACTTGGTCTCCCAAATACTGTGATTACAGACATGCCCCGCCATGCCTGGCTAGTGGTTAAAATATTAATGACTATATAAAATAATAATAATACTGATAATTATTATTATTTTGGTACTGGGAATTGAACTCATGACCTCGTGCTTGCCTGGCAGGCACTTAGGCCTTTGGCTAAATCCCTGGCCCAATTTTAATTTAAGAATTGAGGTGCTTCCCTAATCTAAAGTTAATCTAAAGTTCTTCTAGGAATTAAACAGAATTTAGCACATAAATTTTGTGCACATGTACAGTATTTTTATTTTATAATTTTAAGTTGTAATTTAAAATTTTTCATTGTCATGTTTATAAACTTAAATCTCCCTAACGTTATAAATGTTTTTCTATATTATTCATAGAAAAACTAACTAAACAATGTTAAGAATCAAATTTTCAAATAGCTTTCTTTGGTATAAAATTGTTTCTATAGTGATGAGTACTTCAGAATGAAATTGCAGTGGAAATCTGTCAGTGAGGAACAAGAGAAGAGAAATTCGAGATTAAGAGATTATAGAAGTCTTATTGGTAAGTTTTCTTAACATTGGAATTACAAGAGAGGTTCACATTGAAGTCTTAAGGTTAATAATTAGCCTCAGAAATACAGAGAGGTGTGTTAATAGTATGGCACTATCCATGATTATCCTTCTGTGGAGGATTAAAGAAGCAGAGCTAAATGTCAGTGTGAGGGTTCAAAAGAAGAATCAGAATTGGAAAGTAAACTGGGCGTGGTGGCACATGCCTGTAATCCCAGCATTTGGGAAGCTGAGGCAAGAGGATTGCTATGAGTTTGAGGTGAGTGCGACTACCAGTCTAAAGTCATTATGAGACCCTGTCTCCAAAAAAAAGAAAAGAAAAGAAAAAGGAATTGGAAAGCACATTAACTTGGTCATTATATTTATAAGTAGTGATATATTCTATTTAATTTTCATTTCCAAAATGTAGATTGAGATTATTTAACTTTATGTTTAATTTCATTTTGTAAGAACTTGCATTATTTTCTTTACTATGAAAATGTACAAAAATTAGGAGCTATAAGTGAGGAAAAATAATTCTGTTTCAGTTTCCCATAGGTAATATGGTTAATAGGTTTTGATTTATATCCTTGTAGTCCTCTAAATATTCATGTTTCTTTAAATAAATAATTAGGTAATAATTTTTTCTTTTAAAAAACAAGAATAATTACTAGGGAATAACTATTTTCTAAAAAAAGAGATATTTGATAGAATCTTATCATAAAAAATAGTGGAAAATTAGACACAGTCTGCCTTCAGCATTGTGAGTCATTGTAAAGACTTCTGGCTTTTAACTTTAAGTGAAGTTAAAAATCACTGGAGGATTTTCAGAGAAGCACTGTGATCTGATTTGCGTTTTAACAAATCACTTTGGCTGCTGTTGGGAGAATAGGTGTAGGGGGCAAAAGTGGAAAGAGATAGCCATCATCCAGCCTTATTTCCAAATAATCAGAACTGGGTTATCTGGCTTTAATGATAAAGGCCAGGTAGATACAAGTTACTGAAGGATGCGTAGTTAGTGTTGTACATGTCCACCTCACAAGTTTCAGTTCATAATCTTTGTTTTACAAACTGAAGCATTGAGAGCGTACGTTACATTTGTAAGCTTTACATAGTTAATGTGTGGAGTGTAGTTTTAATGTTCTTATCTATCATATTATACTGTTTTATGTAATTTTAGGATAGCTTTGGATAGTTGGAAAGTTTAGTTTTGAAATTCTTTGCTGTAGTTGGATTTAGATGTCTGCAGCCTTAAAAAATATAGAGGCCCCCATTAGCCATTTCCACCCTCCTATGAAAGAAAGAAATCTGTGAATTAGTTTGAGAAAGCCCAGTGTAACAGTGATTTTTTGTTTGCTTGTTTTTGGGACAGGATTTTGCCATGTAATTTAGGCTGGCCTTGAAATTACCGGGATACTCCTGCGTCAGCCTCCCAAGTCTTGAGATTATAGGTGTCCACCACCTCACCGGGCATATAGCAGCAGTTTGTAAAGACAGTTATTGAGATCTTTTTTGCAATAGTAATTTTGACTGTGAAAAAGTAGTTTATTTTTCTGTGTCTCCCTTCTTGGGAAGGAAAAAGTTGGGATTGCATATCATGGAATTATCTCGTTTCCAAGTGAAGTATGCCACTGTTTCTTCGTTAAGTGGGAAAAGGTGGTAATGGATTTTTTTTCCCATTTGGATATAAAACATTGGACCTGGCACAAATTGTCAACTAGTTGCATATATTTGAACCCTTTTCTTTCCACATGCCAGATTATTTTCTCTCAACAGTGGTAATGATTCATCATTTTGATCTTTCTCTGTCCTATTTTCATTCTTTCCAGGAGACTTGGAAAAGAAATTTAGATATTTAAATCTCCAGAGTGAAATTTGAATTGAGACATACTTTAATCTAGGTGTTTTTCAGTTTTATGAGATGATAGAATTGAAACCAGAAAAGATTAGTAAATTGTTTTAAGCAAGATACCGAGGTAGCTCTTAGTCCAAACTTGCTCTTATTACTTCATTTTAATTTTTTTAAATTTGGTTTTGATTCTAACTGATCTTTTAACTCTACCATGCTTTCTCCAATGTAAGTATACATAGTAAGTTAGGTTAGTTTGTTCTGTTTTTGAGTCAGTTTAGCCAGCCCTTGAACTTACTTTGTAGCCCTGGTTGGCCTTGAACTCATGGCAATCCTTTTGCCTTAGTTTCCTGAATGCACAGATTACAAATGTGCACCCCTATGCCTGGCCATTGTAAGTTAGTTCAAAAGCATTCTTTTTTAAAAATACTTTTTTTCAAAAGTATTTTTCAAAAACGATTATCTAAATTTTTGGGGGGGGGGAGTTTAAAATTTATGTTAAAGAAAAACACAGTACTTCGTAGGCCTTCTGGGTCATGTCAAGACATTGGACTTCAATGTGAGAAACTATTGGAATATTTTAAATAAGAGTAACTTACATTTTTAAATAACTTTTGCTATTTGGAAGTGGCTTGTGTCAAGGAGGGGTAGAGCAGGGAGAGCAGTGTGTAGGGAGGAGGAGGCTGGGGAGACGGGTGGTGGAGTGCGGATGAATGGAGCATTGCAGGCAGATTCATGTCATGCTTTAATGAAAGAATTGTAAGATTTTTTCGTATATGAAATATGGGAGAGAATCAAAGATAGGACTCAGTTTTTTGAGAATTTGGGCATTTGGTGGTGCCACTTACTCAGATGAAAATGGGCTATAGGGAAATTGAATTAGGGATGAGGTGTGTAAACTTGAAGGTGAGATACACAAATGGAATGTGAAGCGGCTTGCTGAGCAGTTTGGTGTGGTTTGGTAGGAGACATGTATTTGAGTTTTACAATGTAAATATTCTTGGGACAGGTGTCCTCTAGGACATCAGAGAAACAGTTAAAAAAGGCTCAGGAAATCCCAGTTTTTATTCTTTGACTTTGAGCTTTGGCAGCACATTAGAATCATCAGGGCATCTTTTACAGTCATGTTAGTTACTAAGCATTTGCATACTCATTTTTCAATAAAGTATTTACTTAGTGCCTGTTGTGTACCAGGCTCTGCTCTAGGCACTGGGATTCATCAGTGAACAAAACAAGTAAGATTCTTGCCCTCAAGCAGCTTCCATTCCCTGGGAAAGAGCAGACAGTAAGTGAGATAAGTAAGTAAACATGGGGTGTGTTGGTGGTGAGTGGTTAGTAGAGAAAATGAGAGGATAGAAAGCTTACGTGTAGTGTTGCATGTTTAACTCTTGAACATTCATGGAAAGCTTTTGCTGAGAAACTGGTATTTGACTAGAAATTTAAAATAGGGGAGAGGTGAGTTATGCAGACAGAGATGTCGGTAAAAAGGTAATCTAAGGAAGGGAGCAGCACGTGGGATTTGTTTCCACTCTAGGACTTTTGTATGTCTGAGCTATAGCAGGGAGGCCAGTCTGCCTGAAATGAATTAGATTAGAGTGGACAAACTGATGAAGCCCAAAGGAAAAATAGTGGAAAATTAGGCACAGACTGCCTTCAACATTGTGGGTCATTGTAAAGACTTCTGGCTTTTAACTTTAAGTGAGATTAAAAACCACTGGAGGATTTTCAGAGAAGCACCGTGATCTGACTGGCGTTTTAACAAATCACTTTGGCTGCTGTTGGGAGAATAGGTGTAGGGGGCAAAGGTGGAAAGAGAAGAGCCATTTGAGGCTCTAGCCATCACCCAGATAAGAGGTGAAGGTTGCTTGACTGAAAAGGCCAGCAATTAAGTGGATGAACTTGGAATAGACTCTTGAAGAACAGGAGGTGTGTGTCAGTCAACCCTCAGGTGAGGGCCTTCCAGGCAGAAGGGTGCAGCAGGGACTAGACTTGTTTCTGCTCAGGACCTCTGCATTGAAGACGAACAAGGAGAGCAGTGTGGGTTAAAATGGAGTTAGTCAGGGTGGGAAGGGAATGAGTAGGGTGGGAGACACAAGGGAAGCAAAGACTAAAGGGTGACTCCAAGGTTTTCAAGGTGAGCATCTGGAGAAATTGTGTCACATTGTTTACTAAGATGGAAAAAACTATGAGCCAAACAAATATAAAGGGGAATTCTTAGAAGTCAGTTCTGGGCAATCATTTTGAGATACATCTTGGAAATCCACAAGTTAAAATGTAGAGTAGAAAGTTGATATAAATGGCCAGAGTTCAGTGGAGGAATCCAGTCCAGAAATAAATTTAGGAATCATCAACACACATACGCTGTAACACTATATGAAACTATAAATTAGGATACTAGATACAATTACCAATGAGTAACAGAAGAGGTCCAGGAGCTGAGTCCTAAGGCATTTTGTACTTAGGAAAACTTAGGAGAACTCAGCAAAGGAAACTGAAAAAAGATCTCAGAGTCATAAAAGACAAATAAAGAAAGCATTTGAAAAATAGTGGCTGGGATATCGAGTAAGATGAAGGCTTGACTAGATCATTAAAAAATTATAAAGAACAGATATATAATTGGAAATTGAGATTAAAGAGGAACGTTGATGAATAAGTAGATGTGACAGTTTGATTGAAATGAGTTCAAGAAGGAACATAAAGAGGCAGGACTTGGAGACAGCACACAAACACTCAGCTCTTTCAAGTTTTGCTCTAAACAGGAAAACAGGGAAAAGTTGGATTAAGAAAGGTGTTTTTCTCACTCAGCCACCTTATCTTTGGCAAAGGAGCCAAACACGTTCATTGTGGGAAAGGTAGCTTCTTTAATAAATGGTGCTGGAAAAACTGACTTTCCATATGCCAAAGACTAAAACTAGATCCTTGCGTATCATGATGCATTAGACTAAAGTCAGCATGAATCAAAGATCTAAATATTAAAACAGAAACACTGAATTTTCTTGAAAAGAAAATAGTTAGAATTATTGAAGTCACAGGTGTTGGCAGAGACTTCATGAAAAAAATCCAGACCACATGAGAAATGCTATAGAGGATCAACAAATGGGATTTCATCTTATTAAAAATCTTTTGCATGACAAAAGAAATCACCAGCAGAGTGAAAGGGTAACTGACCCAAGTGGGAAAAAAATTACAATCAGTTGTCCCTCAGACAATAATTGATATCTGGAACATATAAAGAACTGAAAAAAAAATCAGGCCTCCAAAATTCAGAGACTCAATCCAAAAATGGGAATCTGAGATGAATATAAACTTCTCAGATGAAACACAAACAGCAAATAGACATGAAAAAGTGTTCAACATCATTGGTTGAGAAATGCAAAGTAAAACAACACTGAGGTTGAATTTCATTCCAGAAAGAATGGCTATCATCAAGAAATCAATCCATAAAAAAATACTGTTGTAGACTGGTGTACCTATTGTGAAAATCAGTGTGGAGATTCCTAAAGAAAAAACTAGGATTAGAGGTCTCATTCCATCCAGCTATTTCCCTTAATCTTCCTGGAAGAATCAAAAATGTTGTATGACAGCAATATATGTGCACCCACGCTTATAGTAGCACAATTTGTAATAGCTAAAATCTTGGGAACAGTTCAAATACCTATCAACCCCTAAGTGAAGTAAATCAGACACACGTGTAAATATTACATCATCTCATTGTTGGGAGAACCTGAACAAGTAAGATCCAAAATGTACAGTAGGTACTGTGAAGTAGAAAGAAATTGTTCAGAAGAGGAAGGAGGGTGAGGGAAAGGGTAAAGGAAGGAGGGGAAAAGGAAAAAAAATACACACACAAGATAGTTATATAGCTAGTTTCTCTTCATTGAAAAGTTTGTGCTAATATTGTTTAGACAGTATTTCATGCATATTTCTTGTACTCTGAGTAACTATTACGAAAATAACAATACACTATATTATTTTTATTCTCCTATTAACCTGTTTTGAAACTATTTTATTGTTACTTTTTCTCTTTAAAATAAAAAAAGAGGTGTTTTTGTTTTCTTTCTTTTTTTTTTTACCATTAAGAGAATCAACAGCATGGTTGGATGCTGTGGGAATGACACAGTGAAGAAAAACTGATGAAACTGGGGAGGGAGACAACAATTAATAGAGACACCAGATAAGAATTACTAGAGCCCTTCAGTGGCCAGTGGTGATGGGTCTCATGTACAGGAGGGGCTGATTTTAGACACAGTCGTGGGCTCATTCACAGGCATGGGAACACAGGGAGACTGCAGCACCTACATTCACATGTAGTTACGGGGTTTGAAGAATGGGAAGTTGGGGAGTTGTGTAGGGAGTGTCGGTTTTTCCCAGAAGTAGGATGCAAGATCTCAGGGCTGAGAGGATGTTGGAGAGGATGGACGCTTGAGAGAGATGCAGTGTGAAATGGATGCATTGGGAGAGTGAGTGGATGAGGGCAACAGTGCACGAATGCCCAGCAGCGCTGAGGGCCCTCTTGAGGGTGGCAGTGGTGGTGCACGTCAGATATGGTCACTCAGTAGAATTGGTTTATTTTTTCCATCAGCTGCCTTTAGCAGCTTTAGAAGCAAGTTAGAGAGTCAGATTTAATTAGGGTTTGAAAAGCTTAAGTACCCATTTTCTTTTCACAAATACCTTAAAAATATTGCTTGGCATGTTGTTACTGCGTATCTATAGATGAAAGTGATATGGTAGATCATGGGAATATGAACAAGTTTGTTATTGTGCTTAAAATACTTAGTAAGGCTTGTGTTTTTACTGACATTATGACTTACTGAAATGTGAGAATGAAACACATTTGTAAGTGAAATTTGATATTCACAATAGCGTGGTTTTTTGGTACTGCTTTTGCTTGTTTGGGAAGTGTTATCTACATTATATTTTATATGTTTGCTTTAAGAAACAAACTATATTCACCAAAAGCTAGAAAATTCTAACATTTAAAAAAATGTACGTACATAACCTAATTTTACTACTGTTAAATACCACCTTTTTTCATAAATCATTTTAATTCTCAAATCATTTACTTGGAGGAGTGTGACATAGCTTTGTAACAGTTGCTCTTAGAGTAAATTAATCATACTCACTTTCCTGATTTACTGAGGGTTCAAGTTTAGGAAGTGCCTTTTGAGTTGCAAAATCTCTTACAACAAGATGCACACAGCGGGCATCAGTGTTTGAATTGTTGACATTTCGTTGACTACATTAATGGTGTTTCCCTATCTGTTTTTAATGTCTTGAAGTTTTTGCCAGCAAAGTATGACAAAATTAAAATTAAATTGCTTATAATCTAAATTGAATGATATATGTGAGAATAGAGAAGTAATTTTTCATAAAGATTATGGAATATGATAAAGCAGTTATGAATGAAGTAAATATCTTTGATTATGTTTGATTGGGTAGTAGTTTTTTACTGCATTTTCATTGGCTATCTAAGTATAAAGTTGCACACATTAAAAGAATGGCATTGTTGTTACTAATGTGAATTTTTATTTAGTATTTTAGTTCATTGAAAATGTTTGTTACTATGCAATTTAAAGGTTATGTTTAGATTAAAATTGAAAAATACTTGAAAATTTGCCCATGAGGAAGTAGACTGGTTTTTGAAAAATATACCAAAATGTTACTCTGCATTTGCAATGGAATTTGACAGTTTTCTTTCATTAAGCTCGGCAAGAAGTGAAATTAATAGTAAGAAAAGTAATTCTGTATTTGTAAGATGTAAGCTTTATGTGGATCTGTTTTTTTGAAAAGGTTTCAAATATGTGATGCTTTTCCTCTTTAGAAAAAGATGTTAACCGAACAGATCGAACAAACAAATTTTATGAAGGCCAAGATAATCCAGGGCTGATTTTGCTTCATGACATTTTGATGACCTATTGTATGTATGATTTTGATTTAGGTAAGTTCTCCTCAAAAGTCCTAATTTGCAAAAATTTTTATTTATTTTAGAATTTAAATTTATTAGCCAGTTAGAAATAATTGGTCTGTCAAGTAGGTGTTATAAGGGAGGATTGTTCTTCAGGAGACTAGAAACCTTTAAGGCTGTGTCTCCCAAGCAAGGAGCCCTGGTTGTTGTAACAAGCATGCAGGCTCCTGTGGAATATATTAAATTTTGAATTATAGTGACATCTATACGATATTTCTCTACTGGCTGAAATAGTTAAGAGTTTTAATGTTAGATCATTGCATTGCTTTCGATTAAGTTACTTATTTGCAAAGCTAGTTTTTTGGCTGTGATGTGTTATGCAAGTAGCATGTGAAAATCAATGAACAAAAAAATGACAGTAGTGTTGTTATCAAGGTTTGAGAAGCATGTATTGCCCAAAGGCTAAGTTTATAGGGCATGAACACATGTTCAGTATATATTATCTAAAACTCTTTGGACCAGAAGTATTTAAGATTTTGTAGTTTTTGGATTTTGGAATAGTTGCATAGACTAACAATGTTGAATATGTCCTTATCTGAAAATCTGAAATGCACCAAAGTTGTATTGTGCTGGCACTCAAAAAAGTTTTGAATTTCTGAACATTTCAAAGTTTACATTTTGAACTAGGGATTCTTAACCTCCTGTACTTGAAAGTTATATAGACATAACTAATAAAGGGAGCTATCATTTCTTTGAAACAAGGAATGTCTTAGAAAAAATTACCATGAATTGAGAAAGTTTAGGACCATTGTTTGTGTTTTTTCCCTTGTGAAGAAAAACACTGATTCAGTGTCATAGATAATAGTGCATTTTATTTTGAAGGCCATGTAGAATCTACTTCTTTTTCTTGGTAAGTCTTCCTACCAAAAATGAGTTGTTAGGACTGGTGCTGGAGGTACAACTCAGAAGTTCTATAGGGAAGAAGCGTTAAGGGGACAAAACGTAAGGAACCAGTATCTTAAGGGGCTAGAGAATTTGAACTGTTTGTTTAAAGGACCAACAAATTTCCTAAGTGTCAGCTTTTAAATAAGTATAAATAATAAAATTTCTGAGTTACTGCCATATAAATGGCTTCTAGCTAGAGAATAATAGAAATAGTTGTTTTTCAGAGTATTTTAGTCGAGCTTTAACATCTTCTGTGGAAGGTGGTTACATACTCCCTTAACATTTAACCCACATAAGCATTGAGTTATGGCTGCATTTTGTTCTGTGCAAGTTGCCTGGATTTCTGAATGTCAGGGGAAGATGTAAAATTGGTTGATGGGCCTAAGGTATCAGCCTCTTTGGTGACAGTAAGTTTACTAAGTTGAAAGTCAGAAATGTAATATTATTACATTAATTAATACAGCCAGCCTGTATATTACATATATAGTAAGCTTCAGGGTGGATCATTGAGAGCATAGTGTGCTTTTCAGGTTACAGAGTGCTGTCCTACTTGATTCAATTTTTGCTTTGATTCTCATAGTAGCCTCTTAGGGAAGTGAGAAAAGTAATTTCATTTTTATGCGTAAGGTTATATTAAGAGAGTGATTCAGTGTTATACAAGTAAGACATAATTGGTTTTTATTGCAGGTGGGCATTCTTACCTATCTTTAGCATCCCAGTTACCAGGTCCTGACCTAGATCCCTGATCTCCCAAACGAGTGTACAGCGGAGGTTCAAGTAAATTGAGACAAGTTATATGATTTTAGGGCTCCAGGAGGGCCAAAACCCTTTAGTTGAGCTCCAGACTCTGAGGGTTAAGACCAAGACTTCTCTGGATCAGCCCACTTTTCTTAGGACCCAGGACAAAAGGCGGGGAAACTGAGGAAAGCACGGGGAAATGAGCAGGACCTTGGGAGTCATTTCAAAGACTTCTCCAAGTAGTAAATTATGCCAATTTAGGAGAACTGTTTTATCTTCAGGATAACATTTATGGTAGGGGTGCGATTGCAGGAGTGAAATTCCTTCAGCTGCAGTCTCTATTTACTTAATAAGTGTTGGAGCCAAGGTGTCTTCAGCTGCGGCCTCATCTTGCCCTTTGTGGTACCTCTGACCTCACAGGCCTCAGTCAGGACCAGTGATTCATAGAGGTTCACTTACTATGAATCAGCTCCCGTCGCCAGGGAAGGGGCTTAGGCCTAGGACAGACTCACAGATAAACATAGAAAGCCCATTCGTTAATTTTAAGTCCTGTTTGAGTTATCCTCAGAACACTGTATGTAAGAAACCAGAGGAGTCTCAGTTTTTTATTTCTAATCCCCAAGTTTCTTTTTTCTTCTCTCTCTCTTTTTTTAATGATACCCTAAGGGATAAGTTCAGTTACTTGGAAAGTTGACCTGTGTATAAAGTTTTCTGCTAAAGAAGTTGTACAGTAGGGTGATGTGGAGTTCATTTCTCACACCTTTCAACTGAAACAAATTTATTATGAAAATAATGAGCTACTTTAGAAAATGTGGTAGTGCTGATTAAGATGTGCATCAGTCAGCAATACTGCAGAATCTGAGTGTCACTGAATGCTAATTTAAATAGCTTTAATCTTTCTTTAATTAAAAGGAATTTGTACATTAATTCCACCCCCACAACCCATGATATACCCCAAAGAACATCATGTATAAAATAAAATAGATTAAAGGCTACCGGAAGATGAAGATTAATTTGACTGCTTGCTTCATCTAAGACTTAACAGAAATGTGGTAGTGATCTTATATGAAAACCAAAGACTTAAAAGATTAAGTTAGCTTCATAGAAATTTTTATTCATTATAACTTACTAATAAAGTGCTATTATTCCAGAGGAAAGGTGCTTTGTAAATCTTTTGAATAGCATACTTAGAAATTTTTCTGTCATAGACCATATGTAGTCAGACCCAAGAGAGTACTACTCTTTTGCATTTTGTTAATATTCAGATTAGATTTCCTTCATGGCAGTTGGTCTTGACTTTACTAAATTGTTGATTTCTCTGCCAGGTAAGAAAATTCTCTGATAATGGGTTAGTCTTTCTTCTCACCTTTTTGCTCTTTTCTTAAAAGTGTTCATTATTTTAGAAAACATCCACATAAATTTTTAGAAATGCTTATCTTTAGATACCTTGTCACATGCCACTTACTCCAGCTCCTTTCCTAAATATTTTAGGAATTTGTTGTTTGATAGTGTAGTAATTGGCTGTCCTTTGTGAGAACTCAAGTGTCCTTTCCTTGCCAGTGGTGGCAGATCTGTGGCACATGTGATACTTGTTTTTTTTTAAGACAGAAGATATTAATGTGTGAGTTGGTTTCTCTAGAATAAAATATCAGTGTTGAGATTTAATTTCAGTGTTGGTACTTTGCAGTAAATAAGTGGGTTTTCAGTTGAAGCTAGGGCACTTGGTCTCTAAAAGAGTTGCCATCACTGTTTTATGCTAACGTGCATAGAGCTGTGTTTTCCTATGGGTGTGGTGGGGTTACCCGGAGGGACATAGCAGTAGATGGCACGGCAGAGGCTCCCAGCAACGTTAGCTCCTCTTTTATTTGTGAGGAGATTCTGAAGTGATCTAAGTGTGTGTCTGTATTACATGTTTGTTCTGTTTTCTAAAGAAGTTTTGGTTTTTCTACTTCTTGAGGTCATTTTAAAAGTTCTTCCACAATCCTCTTCCTTTTACATACATGTTCTTGGGCTTCAGTGTGGATAGACATTGGTGATAAAAAAATGTAAGTTTTGAATTTACACACAAAAAACTTTTCCCTAGATTTTCCAAGCTGCCATCAAAAAAATCTCAGTAATTTTCTTCTTTGGGGAGGTTGTGGGTGGGAAGGTTTTGAGACAAGGTCTTGCTTTATAGTTCTGGCCTGGAACTCATGGGGATCCTTCTGCCTCAGCCTCCCAAGTGCTGGGTTCACAGGTGTTGCCCCCAAGTCCACCCATAATTTTTATAAATGTACAGAAGTTAACAAAGTTGAATGATATATAAGTGAACAGGCTTAGTATGAGCTCTTGTCGTTTAAGAATTGGTGTTGAGTTTGAAATTGAATTATAGAACAAAAAAGTGAGGATTTTATAGGATGAAAGTAAAAAAGAAGCTTGACATACTCAAATGAAAAGCAAGCTAAGCAATTTTGTTTGTTTTTAAGTTTGAGGTTTGACTCCTTAACTTTCCAATTTGTTTCTTAATTAGGGCCTGAAATTAGTATCATGGTTATAAAATTATTGTGTCAAGAGAAAGTAGATAAGGGGTAGCATGAATTACAAAAATATTGGTTGGATTAGACCCAGCTGCTAGTATTGGTTGACTAAAGACTTAACAAGAGAGAGGACATGGTTTGCTTGCTAATGCAGTTAGATCTCTCTTTCCCTCCCCTTCCCTCCCCTCCTCTCCCTCCCCTGTCTTCCTCCTCTCCTTTTTTTTTTTTTTTTTTCTTTACTGTACTTGGCTTAGTCTTCCTAGTTTGATACTGTTGACCATGCTGGCCTTGCAATTTTCTTTTCCTGGGGGATTTTTGCAACTTTCTTCTCCTTGTGTCCCTCTCTCCCTGCTCCTCCTCTCCATTTATTTTTTTCTTTGCCTCTATTCTTATATTTTCTTTTGAGCATATACTCTTACATTTGCTCCTCATTTGGGTTCTTTCGTCATTTCTCCTTTTTCATGATGCTCTTGCACGTTATTTCTTTTTATATATTTTTTCTCAGTGGATTAAATAATATACTTAGTTTAATTTACTTTTTATTTCTTTATTACCCACTTTTAATAGTGATAATTACTCTATGATGCATTCTGCATCTGTATTATCTTCATATCTGTCTAAAACAACTCATCTTTCCCACCTGATTAGACTTTCTCCCTGTTTATTTTCATTGTGAATAATAGTATCTTCCAATTTTTGAATCCAAAGGCAACCGTAATCTTCAGCAAAATGGTCCTGATATACCTGGAAAGATTCATAAAGATTCATAGCTTAGGTTTTCAGAGATGTGATGATTGTTTTTCTTCACAGGATATGTGCAAGGAATGAGTGACTTACTTTCCCCTCTTTTGTATGTGATGGAAAATGAAGTGGATGCCTTTTGGTGCTTTGCCTCTTACATGGACCAAATGGTAAGAACAGTGACTCCTTCCTTTAGTCAAACTGATTTTGAAAATTTTAGCTGTATAATTTCATTATAAGCTTGATTCTTACATGATGGAACTTGAATTTTTTCATGCTTATTTTATTTTTCTTTTTAATAACATTTCAAGAGGCTTGGAAACACTGGTACTGTTTTTAATATAAAAGTAGATAATAAAGTATATCTGTAAAGAGAAATCAAGATTCAATATCAAAAATGCTTATGTTCTTCAGAAGAGCCATGAGTCATAGAACATTGATGAAATAGATTATTCACTTTGTGAAGTAGTTGAGCTTTCCTATCATCAGTTTCAGAGATAAAAGATTTAGTCAGGCCAAGTAATATCCTTACCTTTTGTCAGTATTTTAGATTTGGTCATTAGTGTCTGATTTTTATCCACATATGTTTTAGTTCTGCCCAATAGCCCTTAGAAAATATTAACAAGGAAATAGAGAATTTTCTTAGGCAATGTTTTAGAAAATATACAAAAGAAGATACCAGTTATAAAGGCATATAAAATCCAAAAGCCTGACTGCATAGGTCACTGTATTTTTCAAAATAAAACTAATAAACTTGATATTGGGTCTTTATGTCAAATACTGAAATGGCTTGTTAGTAAAGGGCAAAGGCTTTGAATCTGTAATCTAAAATTTTTCTCAGTATTATAAAATTTAACTCAGGACTTCAGGGATATAAATTTGAAAGCTGAACTCTTCTCTTTTCCTTCTGTTCTCCTTGCTTACCTATTTTTTTCTCTTCTAATTTTTCCCGTTTTTGTCTGTTTTCTTTAAATCTCTTATCCATAGTTTGAGCTTATCTTTACCTTTCATAGTTCTTTTATGAAAGTACATTTGATGATTTGATAGTTTTAAAATGTTCATTAAATTAATAAATATTTAAATTAGTCTTGCTATGAATTAATATTTTTAGATTGTTTAGAATTGTCACTGTATTCTGATACTTTCATAGTTTGTTTTCTTTACCTTTTTGATTGAGGTGATTGATTTGCCTGCGTTCTTATTTCCAATTACTCTCAAGTGCTCTAGAAACCTGAGGCATTTGTTATAAAGGTCTGTACAACTGGTACTAGTGACATAAACACTTTTCTCTGCCTTCTTTGTGTTTTGTTGTTCATCTTTTTCACTAGAATTAATATGTTCCTTGATAAAGGGATCATATCTTTGTTTCATTTAATATGTACCAGAATTTTCCTAATGCTCAGCATGAGGTGGCTTAAAAGATTTTTTTGTTTGTTTTGTTTTAGAATAAATGAATCTTTCTCTTGTGCTCAGTTTAAACTTTTAATTAGAGTAGGGAATCTCTCCCTAAAATTAATGTGGATAATATATTTAATATCTTATAATAGTTTTCAATAAAAATCAATATTGCCACATTCTATTATATTCGCTATATAATGCCTCATACATACATGCATATGTGTGCATATATATTTAGGTCTCAGGTAAAGACTGCTTTCTTAACATCTGTAGTATATACTTTACAGTCTCTATCATCTTTGTGAACAGAGAAGCTTTAATTTGATTCTACCTTTTTCTACAGTAAATGTTTGACTTTTCCACTTAGGATGCCTGGGGATTTTTTCTATCTTTTATTTTAAAACGATCTCTTTAGTATATTGTCTACTAATACATATTTTTTCATAGTATTTGATTAAAATAGCAGTATGTGCCCCTCAAAATAATCTGCACTATTACTTTTCATGTATTGCTATTTTGATGTCTTTACGTCTGTGTGCTACTGCTCTGTCTCTTTTTGTTGTATAGCATTTTTGATTCATGCACATTTTTATTGCTTTTGTCATGATGAACCTAATGTCCCCGAATTTACTTTGTCTGTTTACACTGAATGTAGGTCTCGGCATAGACTTCATTATTATGGGACTATTTTCAAAGTAATGGTGATCTGATGGTTTAATCCCTGCTTTTTTCCTTCCCATCTCTGTGCATTTGCCTCCCTCCCTTTCTCTTAATTACTGGTCCAGGTGAAATTTTTTGTATATTCATCATCAGTCTTCCTTCTTCATCTCCAGGGATGAGTAGTTTTTCAGAGGTGATGCTTGTCATTTTGGTGACAGGTACTACTACTACCTGTCTTTTTAGCAGAGTGAGTAGGTTAGCTATGCCACTTTGGTTTGGTACTTCAGTTCTAGGCTATGGCTGTCACAACAGAGATTATCCTGTTACTCAGTCAGTTAATTATGTCCTCCCTTATCAAGTTTGTCTGGTAAATTTGGAGAAACTATATACTAGAGGCTTAAACTAGTTCTTTAATTTATTAAAAAGAAACAGCTTATTGTTATTGGTAGCTTTTACAATGTTTTAAAAAGCAAGAATATATTGTTCTATTCAAATAGATAATTCTAATAAAGCACTGTTGTGTTTCAAAAATGTGAGGGATGAGAGGAAGTTGTTTGAAGACTTTTTACACGGGTTACGATGGTAGGGTGTATAGAGTTGAGGCATAGGATTTAAGGCTTCAGAATGATTTAGGAGTTTGAAAACATTTGCTTGGTGCCTTTAGTCCTTTGCCTCTGGGGATTTAGCTCAGCAGCCTAAGCGCCTGCTTTGCAAGTGTGTGGTTGTGAGTTCGATCCCCGTACCGATAAAAAAAAAGAATTGGTAGGGAATCTTCTTGCGTTTGAAGACTGTTTCAGCACGTGAACTACAGCCAGAACATGCACTTTGGACCTCAGGATGCCTTCACACTCACATATTCCTGAGGACCCAGATGAGCTTTTGTTTATGTGACTCATATCTATTATTTATCATATGACTAATACTGAGGAAGTTGTGAATATTTATTGATTCCTTTTAAAATAACTATATGCCTAGTACAATTTAACATGTTGCATTTTTTTTAAATAAAAAGTAACTTTTACTAATGAAAAAATTCATGGAGAAGAGATTGTTTCCCATGGTTTTATTTTGTTTTGTCCCCAAATTTTAATTTTTATTAGGACATTTGAAGTACATAATGATTATGTTCATGGGGGGTCGGTACACGTGCATAACACATCTTAGTTCTTCTTAATCCTTTACCCTGTCCCTGCCTGCCCTTCCTCCATCTCTTGGTCCCCTTCCTACTTGGAAAAGATCTGTCTCCCTGTTTCTTGTTATCTTTTCTTTTTCTCTTTAAGTATTTATGCTTTGGGTTGCTCATATAATAGCTGGATTTCCATTTCTGCTGTAAATTTGGTCAGTTGCAGTATCGCACATTGTATGTAGCTTTTTGTGCTTTGAGAGTTAGAAATGTGAGTACAAATAACATTTTAGTATGGTCATAAAAGTAGTTTTGACCTCACAGATTTCTCATTGTCATCAAAGCTAAACAGTATTAAATTAATTCCAAAACTGAGATATATATTAAACCTAGTGTTATTTTTATTTCATGTGACAATTTGAAGGAATTTTAACTATGGAACTAATATATGTATGTTTATTTCCCAAATATGTGTTCATTTCACCAAGTCTTTTATGCTGGGTAAGAAATAAGCGTGTGTTAGTTTGCTGTTACTATCCCTGTATTCTTCTTTACCAGAATCAAATAGAGGGAGAAAATAATCCTTAGTTTGAGACCAAGGATTTTTTTCTCTTCTTTCCTTTTGTAATGTTTAGTTTTTTAATTAATGTTGTAATTTGTAACATAACCAGTGTAGTAAAAGTCCAAAATTTGTCCTTCGACATCATGTGATATACTTAGTATTAGTGATTATATATAATAAAATATTTATTATTAAATATTTATGTGATAACAATTATTTTCTTTTAAAGCATCAAAATTTTGAAGAACAAATGCAAGGCATGAAGACCCAGTTAATTCAGCTGAGTACCTTACTTCGATTACTGGACAGTGGATTTTGCAGTTACTTAGGTAGGTTAGGTAGAATATATCCTATTCATAAAAGGAATTATTTATTGTTTGGTAGTTTTTAAGATATTAGAAGGCCAGGTATCATGAGTTTGGGAGTCTGAGGTGGGAACATCATCAGTTGAAGCCCAGCCTGGGCCAATATAGTGAGACTCCATCTCAGAAAAAATGTAGATGGCCTGTAAATTTGAATTGTTTTCTTGAATTAATAAAAGGCAATTAAATGTAAAGAGCTTTTAATCACTTGAAATGCATAGAAAAATTTCAGTTTGAGAAGGGTCTCTAGGTTGACATAATTAGCTTAAGGTAAGCCATATTTGTATTTTTTTCCTTCCGTACAGAATCGCAGGACTCAGGATACCTATATTTTTGCTTTAGATGGCTTTTAATCAGATTTAAAAGGGAATTTAGCTTTCTGGATATTCTTCGGCTATGGGAGGTAAGTTCTTAAATTGTTACATAAATACAGCATTCAGCATTCATTATAAAAAGAAACAGTTTACTCTATAGAGGATAAAAGGATTGTTATGGCCTAATTGCTAAGGAAAGTTCTAAAATCTTGATGAATTTCTAGCTGTTTCTAAGAAAAAATAATGATCTCAAACCTAGTATTTGGTCTTTTGGGACTGACTTCTTCAAGTTGCCATCCTTATGAGATTTGAGCCTAAAAGTATCCCAGGTTCTGTAGGTCACTTGCAACTATTGTTATTTCTTTGGGAAATGACTTTTTTGTGAGGCTTGGTCAATTCTGGCAGATTTGTTTAGCATTCAAGGTAGATTTGAAGACTCAGTCAACAAGTTGACATTTTAGTTTGTAGTCCAAACTGTTGGGAGGAGATGGCTTGTGTTGCTTTTTCAAAGAAATTTAAGTTACAATTAAAGAATAGTATAACAAACATTCCACCTATTGCATTTAATCTTTGTAGGTAGTTTGCTGTATTTACTACTAGTTTTTCTTTTTTGTCAAGATAAAAACTGAAGAGATAACTAATTTAAATTACTCCACAGATCTATTCTTCTCTACTCTAGAAGAAATCTAATCACGTATTTGTGTACATTTTTTTTGCTGCATTATGTACCCAAAGAAACTCTTGATGAAACACAGAATTATTTTATTCTCAAATGTCTATTGGTATCAGTTCATTCTGCCTTTTAATACAGTATTGTTAACATTACTGATTGTTGCCTTACCTCTCTACACTTGGCATTTCTTTGGATTGAACTTCCTGGGGCCTTCACACTGAGCTATATTCCCAGCCATTTTAAATTTTTTTAAAATTTTGAAACAAGGTCTCACAAAATTGCCCAGGCTGAGCTTGAACTTTTGATCTTTCTGCTTCAGTTTTGCAGAGTAGTGTGCGATTTCATAGTAGTCAGATGTGTGGTCCTATGCTTGTCCTTTGTCGTATCTTTATATAAAAAACTAAGAGATGACAGAAATTCTCCTATGAAAGAATGAGGCAAGAAATTGGTTGCTAGAGTGCTTAGAACTTGTGCTAACATCGGAGAAGGCAGCTTGCTAATATTTGCAAGTTAACAAGAAGTTTGAGGTTAATTGAGGTTAAATTCAAAAGTTGAATTCAGTTGGCAACTTACTCAACTTTATTTTACTGCTTTTTAAAAAAGTAAAAACATTCCAGGTATGCTCTGATATATTGTTTTTGTGAGTCTTTTTTGGGTAGTTGATTCACTTTTTTTCACGACCAGGAATATTCTGTTATAAAATGTGCTAGGTTTTACATACTTAGAATATAATACTATTGGATACTTTTGGTTTCATGTACTTATATTTCTTTTTATAAAAATTTTCAGGTGTTAGCTTAATTATTTTTAAGGGGCTGAAGGTTTATAAGTGAGAAGCTGAAGGTTTAGAAACATACTGAGTCTTTAACTGACCCTTGTACCTTAAACTCAACTTTTGAGCCATGGCTCCTTAATTCATAAGACATCATGTTGGTTATGTGAAGTGTACTGTAGTTACCCAAAAGGTCTGAATTGGAATATGTCAAATATTAAACCTGATGTTAGTTAGTAACTAAGATGAGGTTCTTTTACTTCTTGTTTGCTACTTAGAAAAACTGGTGACTCTCCCAACTAGTCAAGTTCATTGCTTCAGTGTTCAGCTTATATTGATGAAGAAAATATTCTGGAATTGAAAGTTTACTAAATTGTTCTTCTACTTTTTAAAGGTAATGTGGACTGACCTGCCATGTAAAAATTTCCATCTTCTTCTCTGTTGTGCTGTTCTTGAATCAGAAAAGCAGCAAATAATGGAAAAACATTATGGCTTCAATGAAATACTTAAGGTACTTATTCCTTTAGTTTAGATTTTAGTATTTTGACTCTGGGCTGCTGATACATGGAACATTTATGTGGAGTGTTATTAAATCCCTTAACTAACTTAAATTGTATTAGTAACAATGGTATAACCAGCTTTCTTGAGAATGTTATTTTAATAGATATGTATTGGCTAGTTACTTTTACTGGCTAATTTGGAAGAAAAGGAAATTCAGCAAATGTAGTTTAGTTTTTCGAAAAATAATTCTTTTTCTTATAGCTTTGAAATAGTAGACTTGGGACAGCTGCTAGGTTTAATGTTCCATAAGCTTATTAGCTATTCTTCAGCTTTAACACTTGAAATAATCTAATGAAAGATATATTGGATTTCCTGGGTATTTGTTGCATGTACATATTTTAAAGGGTTTTATCTGCAGTGCAGTGTAACTGGTAATAAATTGTTTACATAGTAAAATATAATAGTGCTTTCAATTGTGGTTATCATTTTATGTTATTGATGTTTTCAAGCATATCAATGAGTTGTCCATGAAAATTGATGTGGAAGATGTCCTGTGCAAGGCAGAAGCAATTTCTCTACAGATGGTAAAATGCAAGGTACACAATGTTTTAAATAATTGCAAGATTTTTTTTTTTGTCTTTTTAGTGGGATTTTTTAAAAAAAAGGTTTTTCTTTTTAAAAGTAAAATAAATGGCAGTTCTATCAGGTTGAGAGCAGCAGACACAAAGCGTTGACTGGCTTTTTGTTTACCATAATAGATTTTCAGCAGTTAATTAAAAACAGTTGACTAATTATATAAGATAGGAAACTTAATAATAAGGCAAAATAGCAAAAGTAATGACAATATTTCTGCAATTAAAGAATGTGGGTAGAGTATAAGCAATGATACATTACCCAATTGAATCAATGAGTACTGAATCTTTTAAGTATGCAGGATCCTCAACTAGACAGGTAAAACTAATAGTATTGAGTGTATGTCATTATACTTGTATCAGTCAAGCTGTTAGTGATTTCTAAAAAAATAGGCAAATTTGAAGTATTATCTTACTTCAAACCAAATCAGTGTACTTTTTGATTTTTCTTTTTTGACTTTTGCATTTATTTGTTTGAGACAGGCTCTTGCTTTGCAGTTTAGGTTGGCCTTGAACTCACTAGCCCAGGGTGACCTCAGACTCATGCTGATCCCTCTGCCTCACCACACCGGATAACCTTCATGTCTTTTGTTCATGGACTCATTTACTTATTTTAATTCTACATTTATTTGATAGATACTCTGTTCCAAAACATGTCAGTGCTTACCTTTAAGAAACTTCTCTTTACTTAAGGAGAGACATAAATATTACTATAAAAAGAAGAGGGATGAATAAAAGAAGAAAGTGACTGATTTGGAAGAGCTACAAGAACCACTTAATAAAGAAAAAGCAGATGGAAGTAGCAGAGGAAGAGGGGACAGATAGGGAATAAAAAGGGAAAAAAAGAATTCAGTTGTATTATGTCCATGTACCAAGTCCCTACAGTAATTGTAGTCATTATGTACTGCACACTTGTACTAATAAAAAACTCCAGATGGTTAGAATTTCATTTGGAATGGAGAAGGAAGGTCTGAGAAGGATATATGATATTTACATTGTAAAGTCCGATGCAGGAATCAAAGTAGTCTATAGTAGAAGTGTTACTTTGTGATGAATTTTTCTTAATAAGTGAATGATGGTGTTGTGTTTGTTTTTTCATATCAAGGAATTGCCACAAGCTGTTTGTGAGATCCTGGGGCTTCAAGAGAGTGAAGTTACAACCCCCGATTCCGACACTGGTGAAGATGAAAGTGTTGGCATGACTTGCCCTGCCACTGCATTTCAAAGTAACAACTTGCCCACTCTTGCTGCCAGTGGAGCCAGAGATGACAGCCCAACAGTGATAGCAGTGTCCCCAAATGTTAGCAGATTAACACCTGCATGATCATTTGTTTTGCTTTTTTTTTTTTTGAAAAGACAGTTTATTGAAACATTTTTTCAAGTACTTGAAAGGTGGACATTTAAAATCTTTGTATTGATCATGCTTTAAGGTTGTTGGAAAGAAAATGTACTGATGTTCTTGCATTAAAGCTTTACAAAGTTTTAAACTAATTATTTTTGTAGTTACTTCTACCAAATAGCCTTTCCTTTTAAATAACATTCCTTAGTATTTTTATAGCCAAGTACATTTTATTTTCTTGCTGATGAACTGGAATTGGGTAAATACTACAAGTGGATGAGTTGGAAATTATGCACTTTGAAAAAATTCACTTTGTTTACTGTTAAATTTAGTGGTTTTTGGATTTGATTAAATTAAATGTCAAACTTTCATATAGGATTCTAAGCTGAGAAGTAGGTTGTTACCTAGTGATGAAATTTTTAAAAATGAGTTTGCTTTTTTTTCTATTGTTTACAACAAAGTGCTCAGCTTAAATATTTATGCAGATTGAATGTGATTTAAATTGGACATTTTCATCAGTGCAATTTAATGTGTAGATAAAGAACTATTTTGACCATAATAAGTGGATTGGCAGTATCTTTTTTTTACATTGAACATTTCTTCACTTGTATATAAAGACTATAAGTATTATTTATGAGTATAAGAAATAATAGGCATATTTTCTTTAAAGAAACTTGACTATTGATTTATATAACCTGATTCAATGAAATTAGTACATGGCTTCAATATGAAATTTTTTTCAAAACTATTTTCTTAAGATTTATTTCATGAGAATGCATTCAAACCTGTACCTGTTGTAATTTTAAAATTAATTGCTTGTAACTTTACTAATAATGTTTATTATCTTTCCTAATGCACTAACTGATTAATCAGGTCTTTAAATTTTTATAAAAATACTCTTTGAAAAAAGCTTATGTTAAATATTTCAAGATATTATCGTGAGTCTTGATACTTTTTTGTATATGAATGAAGCTGGTGTTTTTACCATGCAGTATTGCATGATTTTAAGTTATATGGAATTACCATAACTGATTCCATTTTAATTGTAATTTGTTAACTCTGTACATATCATTAAAGTAAATTTGAAGTCGAAGTGTTTCCAGTTAAATTACAGTAAGAAACATTCTGCTAGTTCTTCATCAGAATCAGCAATTCAAGATGGATCTCAGTACACCTCATATTTTTATGTTGCTGAAATAATCATTTCAGCTTTGGAAGAGATAAACATAACTCCTTTTATAACTGAGAACATTCTCATCAGTATGAAAATGGGTTTGGTGTTGCCTTGGAGGACATAATTATCTCACTCAATAAAAGCAGCTTATTACACTTCGTGCTAGTAGTGCAAAGCATAACTTCTGAAGTTCTTATGTGGTTGCGATAAATTTTCCCCCCAGAAAGTTACAGACCAAGTGAACTTTTTTGTGGCTTAGTGTTAACTGGCAATCGTGACAGTAGAAACATTAGATTTTAGTTTTTAATATCATATGTGTTATCTTTCATCAGTTAATAATGAATAAGCCTATTCAGAAAAAAGTTAACTGATCAAAAACAGCATCTCCAGCTTTTCATTTCCTGCTATTCAGGAAATTGCTTAGAACATCTTGATGTCCTTCTTGTTCCTCTTGGACAGTGAGGTTTTGGTTTTTTTCCCCATCCTATGTAAAATATCTACTTTAGATTTTTGTAAAAATCTTAGTTAGTGTGTTGCACTTTTTTCAAGTTCTATTATACAACTGCTTGTTAAAACATAATTTTTATTAAACTGTACATTTCTATCTTGCATACTTTTATATGAAATTGATGATAATATAGCATCTGCCCACAAACACTATGGAAACTCAAGCTGTTGAGATTGCTTAACTGTATAAATATATAGCTTAGGTAAATTTCTATAGTTTAATTTTTTGGAAGTTTATTTCAATTTTTTCAACATGTTCTAGCTACACCTTTAAAATGTTATAAAGTTGTTAAACTTCAGGTAATTTCTGCTTTAAGTGTTAATGGTAGTATAGTCTCAATTTTTTGTGAGAGTCTGCAGAAACCTTTTGGAATTAAGAAACTTTGTGTTTTGATCATTTTATGTAACAAGTCTCTTCATCTCTACATATTAGGAAATTCAGTTCTAGTGATCAGAAAGTCTTTTGTTCAACAATAAGGAACATCCTTTAGGGATAGTGAATGCTTTCTTTGGAGCCTGACATTGCCCAGAGTTTTTATGTATACGAAGTAACTTATGAAAAATTTATACATTAGATCTACTACTAAAGATAGTTTATATAAAATAAACCAGAATTTTAATCAAATCTAGAACACGTATAAAACTGCCAGGGACGTGCCGTTCTGGTTTGGCTATCTTTGGGTTATCAGAAGATGCACAAATGCCTTAGTGTATGCAGAGTTTTGTGTGCACATGCATATGTTTTGTTTTTCTGGTACTGTGGATTAAACTCAGCCTTCATACTGAACTACATTCCCAGTCCATTTTTAATTTGAGAAAATGTCTTTCTAACTTGTCCAAATAGGACTCAAACTCTGGATCCTTCTGGCTCAGTCTCCCAGAGTGCTAGGATTACAGGCTTGTACCACCATGGCTGCCTTGTGCATAGTAAAAAGAAGTGATGTGTTTTCTGAGTATTTTATGATGTTTTTCAAAATTTGAGGATCATTATTATAAGTGGTTTGACATGAGACTAATGACATAATTTATGACTCATGCCAATGACTATATGGTTAACCTCTCTTAAAATATCTTCAGGATGCTCGTTTCTAGATTCTTGGTCTATGTTAAGCAAATACACATTCAGGTTCTACTTCAGACCCAGCAAATCAATGTCTTGGAAGTAAAATAAATAAATCTGCTTTTTAACAGGCTTCTAGGTGGTTTCCTGAGCCCTACTTTGCATAAGACATTATATACACATATAAATATGTGATATATAAATACACATGTATTTTATATGCTGTTATGGTCAGGTATATAAATCCTTAAGTTTGTAAGTAGTTTTTGGTCTTCCAAGGTAAATTTGCTCTAGTTCTTGTAAGTTTTAGTAAAAAGTGGTGATAACCATCCTATTTCATGCAGATTTTCTCCTCAAGTAATGGATTTTAAACATTCTCTTCAGAACATGAAACAAAGTGAGTTTGAAAGATTTCCATCAATATGTTATGTCATCTAATATTAAACATCTATGCATAGTTCATTTTTGATACACTGCCATTTAAATGATGCAGCCATACTTGTCCTGTTCTCTCTGTGGAATCTTATGGGGATTTAAATTTGTGATTTTTTGAAGATTGTTCTAATTATAAATGTTTCCTTTCCTGTCTTACAAGTAAACTGTTTATTAGGTTATTCATCTTGACAGGAAAATTAATGTGTGATCGTGAGATGCAAGGGTGATGGGAGGTGGACATTTTATACAACTCTTTTTTTCATAACTAAAGCACCTCTCTCTACCCTGGGAAAATTACACTGTTGATGAATTCAGTGTAAAGAAAAATGATTGTAGTAAAATGTTTTTGCTAAGATTTGTCAAGAATCAAAAATACAGATTTGGGGCTGGGGATTTAGCTCAGCGGCGTAAGCGCCTGCCTTGTAAGCAGGCAGTCATGAATTCAATTCCTGGTACCTATTTAAAAAAAACGGATTTGCCTAATGAGGTTCAGTCCTCATAGATAAAATTGAAATGTTAGAATAAGAGGTAAGCTATTAATTATTCCTCTTAAATACTTACATTTCTCACATGTCTGCAAAAAGCAGATTGAAAACGAATTTCAATAAGCTTAGTTGTGATCAATGAGCAGTATGGTCTGATTCTGCTTTTTTAATTAAAGAGATTATTACCTCAGAGATGGACTTCTGCTGTGACAATGTGTAATAGATGTTTCCAACACCAGACTAGTCTGGAGGAGAGTCAGTGGGTAGTAGGCTGCTTTTCAAATGACTGGTTCTGATTGCTTTGTGTGTTACCTACCTGATTGTACAGGCAGGAACTATAGTCTTTTCCACGGGGGTCACCAGTTTACAGTGCTGCAAAGCAAATGTTCAGTGGTTGAGCCATCAAGATACTTCTGGGTGCTCAGCATTCCAGGCTGCAATGATTGCCAGGACACACATGAGTGTCTTAACTTTTCTCATTGCTGAGACAAAATACTTAACCCAAAGTGAAAGTAGGGTAGGTTAATTTGGTTTATAGTTCATAGAGGTTTCAGTCAATAATCAGTTGGCTCCAAGGGCATCACAAAGGATATGGCCGACAGAAAGCAGCCAAAGCAGCAAGCATCTCGACAAACATTTCTGTCCCTTACATTCTATTTAGGCTACCTGCCCTTAGTCCTGCTGCCCTTAATCTTAGCCTTGCACCGTTCATCAATCCCAGTGCCATATATACTAGATCCAGCCACCTCTAAAAAGCCCCATCGATGACTGCATATGGCTTTTATTTAGAGAAAAAAAGCAAAAAAGGGTAGAAATAATACAGAATTCCTAAAAAAAAAAAAAAAATTCGCTAGTTGATAAATTACATGTTATCTTAGAAGTAGTTGCTCAAGTGCCAGTCCCAGCATAAAAAGTGGACAATCAGTGACAGTACAAACCATTGTTCGATAAAGTAGTATGTTTATCTATCTTGCACACTTACACAGTTATATACTGTATGTTTAAGTGTGCAAGATAGACTGCATACAGTTTTGCAGGGACATCTAGACAGCCACAAGAGTGGAATATAGCCCAAAGAAAGTTTTGGCTACTTTTTGTAAAGTATTAAATGAGCCAAACATAGTATTTGCTAACCAGGAAGTCACTGGCAATTACTGTCTACTCCAAATAGGTGATATAAAGATTAAATTGTTACATTTACTGAATAGAATTATTTCAAGTATTTTTATTTTTTGTACTTTGTGTATGCATGTGTGTATGTTACTGGAGATTGGATCCAGGGACTCTACAACTGAGGTACATCCCTAGTCTCATTGATTGAGACAAGGTTTTGATAAGTTGCCCAAACTGACCTCAAACTTGTAATCTTCCTGTTCCTGCCTTACCCTCTTGAGTAGTTGGGATCACAGGTGTATGCCGCTATACCTACCTGTTTTGTACTCTTAAAAAATGATACCAGGAATGTTTTTCTACATAGATGCTCATATGCTCCCCTTTTCCCAGAAAAGGACAAAGTTTAAGATATATACTGTCATCGATGTCAGGATATAAAAGAAGCAAAATCTAAGAACTGGGCTTTGTTAACTTGCACAGTTTTAACTAAGCTGCATGGTTTTGGAACAAAAACTCTTAACTAATGGGAGTTTGTGAGGATTCTGTATAAAGGCTAATGGATTTCCCCAAGGAGAAGAAACCCAATCCTGTGGTTTTCACTACCTTCCTTCATATCATACTATTTTTCAAACTACCTTTTACACTTTTTGGTTAGTATAAGTTGTGCTGAAGTTTTATTGACAAGTGAAGATTGAGAAGGAAATAATCTTTTTATTGGCATTAGCACACCTGAGAAGGACTCCACAGATTGCAGAGTAGATGAGGGGGAGGGATTGAGTCTTGGCAGCAGTATACCTATTTTTTTTAGAGAAAAAATTACAGATTAAAAGTTTCCACCTGTTATGCCTTGTGTCTAGATGTCCCCCCAAAACCACATGCAACCATGGATGTGCTTTTTCAGTGTGACTAAATCTAGAGTGTATGACTGATTCATGGTGCGATGCTAGGATTAAGGGTGGGTGATTATTCAGCGCTTTGATTAGTTTGTCACCACCTTACTTTTGGTAGCCTCGATATAATGTAAGGAGCAGAAACAGCATGTCTTGTCTCTTGCTTGCTTTGCTGCCTTTTGCCTGTCATGAACTGTTTTTTTCTTCACAATGCCTGTCTGTTATGCTACCTTGCCTTGGAGTCAGCTGATTATGGACTGAAACTTCTACAAATTCTGATTCTGGAGTGAAACTTCTACTAAATAAACCTTTCCCCCTTTAACTTTGGGTGTCAAGTATTTTGTCTCTGCAATGAGAAGAGTAACTAAGAGCACCTTAGTTCAGATGGCCAAATACTGGCACCACCACTGAGGCATGGTGAGGCATTCA